TTATTTCCACAATTTATTAGCTCCTTGAGGAGCACGCTGTTGATGACAATAATCATGCACTGACATACCTGATGACAACAACTACCTACTGCAGGACCAAACAAAGTTTATACGCAAGGAGCCTCAGGCTTTCCCTTTCCTCTGCCCAACCCGCCCCCCCCCCCCAATTTTCTGTTTTGCCCTCTGTGGGTCCCAGTTGCTCTGGCAAGGAAAATTGAAGAAAGCCTAGAAATCCCAGATTAATTTACTTCTGAGTAGACAGAGTGCCCTCCTGGGTGAAAAGGATAGAAGACGACAAAAGGCAGAAAGGAGAGCAAGGGGAGCCAGGCACTTGCAGGCTCTGGGTTCGGTGAGAGCTGAGGGGAAACTGAGGCAGTGTGGCTGAGCTGTGGGAGGGGGTAGACATGGAAAAAAGAAGACACTAGAAAGTGTTATTTTGCCTTTAGATGCCAATGCCCTTTGAGATGCTTGTTAGGGACTGCGGCTGCAATGGATTAGTTTTCTCTGAATGCAGAAGCACCTGGAGATGGGCCACAGGGCTCCCCAGAGTTAGGCAGGTTATGCTGTCATTGCAGAACCACCTGCCCTGGGGCCAGGGGCTTTCTTCACCCATCACATTTCTGGTTCTCATGGTAACATAACAAGATCAGGCTAGGGATGCCATTTTACTGATGAGGAAACTGAGTCTTAGAGAATTTAGGAACATTGAGTGGAGAGAGAGAGAAGGAAAGGGAAAAGTCTGAATCTGGCCCTGACTTAAACCTTTAACCCTTGACCATTAACTCCAGAGCTATATCTTATAATGGGGCAACTACGGCTATTTTTTAGTATATTTTATTGGTTATACTGTTACAGTTATTCTACTTTTTCACCCTTTGCCCCCCTCTGCATGGTATCCTTCTTCCCTCCAGCAATCCCCCCTTAGTTCATGGTCATGGGTCATACATATAAATTCTTTGGCCTCTCCATTTCCTTTACTATTCTTAATATCCCCTGCTCTATTTTGCACCTACAAATTATGCTTTTTACTCCCTGTACTTTTTCCCCCATACTTCCCCTTTCCCCTCCCTGCTGATAACCCTCCAAATGATCTCTATATGTACAATTCTGTTCCTATTCTGGTTGTTTGTTTAGTTTTTTTAATATTCATTTGTTGATAGCTGTGAGTTTGTTGCCTTTTTTAATGTTCATAGCTTTGCTCTTCTTTTTCTTAAATAAGCCCCTTTAACATTTCATGTAATAATGGCTTGGTAATGATGAACTCCTTTAGCTTTACCTTACCTGGGAAGCACTTTATCTGTCCTTCTGCTTTAAATGATAACTTTGCTGGATAGAGTAATCTAGATTGTAGGTCCCTGCTTTTCAACACTTTGAATACTTCTTGCCAGTCCCCTCTTGCCTGAAAAGTTTCTTTTCAGAAATCAGCTGATAGTCTTGTGTGTACTCTTTTGTAGGTAGTTCTCTGCTTTTCTCTTGCTGCTTTTGAGATTCTCTGTTTATCTTTAACCTTTGGCATTTTAATTATGATGCAGCTTAGTGTGGTCCTCTTCGGGTCCAACTTGTTGGGACCCTCTGTGCTTCCTCAATTTCTATGTCTATTTCTTTAATCAAATTAGGGAAGTTTTCTTTCATTAATTTTTAAAATAAGTTTTCAATTTTTTGCTCTTCCTCTTCTCCTTCTAGAATCCCTATGATTCGGATGTTGGCACATTTGGAGATGTTGCAGAATCTTCTTATACTATCTTTGTTTTTTTTTGAATTCTTGTTTATTTTTTCTATTTTGGTTGAATGTTTATGTCTTCCTTTTTTTCCAAATTATTGATGTGAATCCCAGCTTCCTCCCCTTCACTGTTGGGTCCCTGTAGACTTTTCTTTATTTCACTTGGCGTAACCTTCATTTCTTCCTTTATGTTGTCATACTCAGTAAGTTCTTTGAGCATCCTGGTCACCATTGTGTTAAAATCTATAACTGATAGGTTAATTATCTCTGTTTCATTTAGTTCTTTGCCATTTCTTTTTTTTTTCCTGTTCTTGCATTTGGGCCATATTTCTTTGTCTCCTCAATTTGGTAGCCTCACTGTGTTTGTTTCTGTGTATTAGATAGAGCTGCTTTAGGCTTCCTGTAAAAAACACCTGCAAGTTGTGTGGGGTGGAGTCTTAGGTAATCACCAGGGTAGAGCAACCCGCTTCACCACGTGGTAGCTCTATGTGGAAGGAGGTCTTGGAGAGGCGACTGTGCCACTAGTTGGCTACTGAGGGTTTGTCTCGCACTTGCCCCATTTCCAGTCACTTCACCCCCTCCTTATATGCATCTGGTGCCCTTCTAGCTGTTGCCCTGGTACTGGATCCCAGAGTGGGTGGGTCTGTGTATATTTTAAGACCATGCAGGCCTTTTAAGCAAAGTTTTCTCAAAATCTGAATTTCTTCTGTTGCTCTAACCCCCACTGTTTTTTTCAGTGAAACGAGACTGGGATTTATCTTCCTGGTGCTGGAACCCTGGGCTGTGCGGTCTGGCCTGCAGCTGGGATCTCTTGCTTCCAAGGTGTCCCTCCCAATTTTTATCTACCACGTGTGAATGCGGGGCTGCCCATGCCCGTTCTGCCACTACCACCACTCTCTGCACCATGTCTCCTTGTCTCTCTGCCCCTTCTACCCATCTGGATGAATGTGGCTTCTTTAAATCCTTGGTTGTCTGACTTCCATGCAGTTCAATTTTCTGACAGATCTGGGTGTTACATTTTGAGATTTAGTTATAATTCCTTTTTGTGGTTGTGCAAGGAGGCAAAGTATGTCTACCTATGCCTTCATTTTGACAGGAAGTAGAAATTAACTACTGATTATGATACTTGAATGAGGCTTGGAGCTGGGGAGTTCCCATTCCAAATGAATAGCATTGCAGAAGGTAAAAAGGAGTTGAAAACTTTCAAACCACTGGCAAGAAGTTATGGAGCATTTTTGACACTCTGACTGGAACCTCAGCATATTGTCCTGTTGTAAACTATCTATATATTGCAGCTAGGTATTTGTCAGTAATATACAATATAACTCTCCCAGTCTGCTAGAAATTAAACACCTATCATGGGATATATTAAGATCTAACAATTACACGGATGGTATTTCTAGTGAAAAACATATTTTGGGTTAAAAAGCAAAATTTAAAACTAAATTTTTCTTGAAAAACCATTATTTTTTCCACTGATTTATGTATTTCCCAGGATCTTCTATACTTATGTAGATCATATTGGTGTGGGAACTCAAGAGTTGGACAATTTTAGTTTTAGGTAAGAGTTAATAAGCTTTTAGGTAATAGTTAACACATGTACAAAGCTATTGTTTCAGAAATTGAAGGTTGACCCACCCTGACTCCAGGAGACTACAAGCCGTTTAACCTTTGTGCTTTAGAAGAGGCCATAAAGTAATCGTGATGGTATCTGAGTCATTGTGTTCCAGCAAGAGACATCTCGCCACCCAGGACACAGATAAAGAAAACTGCCCAGGACACAGGACACAGGACCCAAATAGAAAGTTACTAGTTAATGGATAAAAGGATGCTAGAGAAATTGCCAGACTGCAGCTCTTATCTGATTAACCTCTTTCCTGAGTTCTAAATCTCTTACCTACATTTTTTCTTCCTCATAAAAAGGCTGGCTTGAAAGGAAATGTAAGACAGTGTGTTAAGGTACATAATTCATTGTCTTCTTGGATCGCTGGCCATCTGAGTAACGCACTATAAAAATTCAACCCCTGTCTTTGTGATTGGTTCTGGTGAAGGCAGAACACACACTGGCTTTTCCGGTTTCAATACGATCAGTTCTAGATATGCCAACAAATGGTCCCAAACTTAAAGTCATCTTAAAAGATGAAAATTCACACACCTTCTTTGTCTTTCTGCTGTTTTGTTGCTTATGGGTTTTGAATGTAAATTTAATACAAATTTGACTTGGATTCTTGACCTTGGTTAAATTGCAATTAATAGATGTAAATTTTTAAAAATATATTTTCTGTTGTCACACAATAAAGATGGCTACTTTATAATAGAATGTAAAGTGAATGAATAAATAAATACATTTTGAAAGACTATATATGAATTATTAATCAGTTAGAAGAATCCCTTATTTTGACATAAGGGTAAGTTTAGATTCAGAGGTACAATAATGGACAGAATAGACATGGTTTTTACATTTATAGACTTCATAGTTTACTTTGACAAGCCAAAGTAAAAATAATATAGTTCTATAAATGATAAAATAACCATCTGTGACTCACAATTTAACTAAAGTGTCAGAATTGTGCATTAGAGTTGACTGTGCAACTCAAAAGAAAAAAATTGTTACTACTCATTACCTTCCATTTTCCACTGGAGACTGAAGGAAAGGTAAAAAAATGATCATGGTGAATTTCTCTATTTGATGTAACATATCATGACATTAGATTGGGAAGTATAGTACATTTTTTTTTGGTGAGTCATTAATATGGAATTACCACTTCCATCATCCTTCTTGGGAAAGTCTTAACTTTGCAGAACTTTTGTCACAATTATTTTGCTGCTACAAATTTTCCAAAAATAAACCTGTATTGTAATTGTAAACCTGTATTGTCTCATGTTACAAATACATAGAAAAAGTATGTTCTCTGCATGCTTGTGATTAGTTATGCATATTATGATATAGCATAAAATGAAATATTTAATTTAAGAAAATAATCTATAGAATATATGTAATGACATGAGAAATGCTCATATATAAGTATGCTATGAAACAGAGCATAATGAACTATTTTGTATGATTTTATAATCTTTCCATATACCTATACTTATATCATGTTTACTAAAAAGCTATTAATATTGATTATATTTTAAGAATATATAATCAAGATTGTTTCTTCCTTTTGCTCATGTGTATTTTCTAAATTCATAACTTCCATGAATTCCAACTATCTTAATAAACCTAGTTTGATGCCAATGAGAAGATCTTAAAAGAGAACAGAATAGAATTACTTACCCTAGTCCCAGTAGCTGACAAACATCATTGGAAATTGGGTTGGTCCAGTTCTCGGCACAAGCTCCATGCCACACACTTTGGATTCTGAACTGCACCAAACCACTGTTTTTCAGCGTCCCATTGAAAAGACGCACTAAAGAGATTAGACACAAGGTCATTTTGACTTGAGACAATAAAAGTAAATGATGGACTCTTAACTACAATGTGCGATGTTCTTAACATTTAGAGTTTAGAGATTGATTGTAACTTTTCATAAGAGTATGTTGGAAGGCCCATATGGAAAGCATAAATTTTGTGAAATTGATTTTTCTCTTTCTATAAAATTGGAAATGGTATCCCTCCCCTCTCTAAAAATAAATAAATAAAATCTTTAAAAAAAAAGGAATAAAAAGCCCTGGCTTGCGTAGCTCAGTGGATTGAGCGTGGGCTGGGAACCAAAGTGTCCCAGGTTCGATTCCCAGCCAGAGTACATTCCTGGGTTGCAGGCCATAACCCCCAGCAACCGCGCATTGATGTTTCTCTCTCTCTCTCTCTCTCTCTCTCTCTCCCCCTCCCTCCCTCCCCCCCTCTCTAAAAATAAATAAATAAAATCTTTAAAAAAATTGGAAAAGGTAGAGATATGTAAGTTCATCATATATAATATGGAAAATAAACAGAAAGTAAGACTATTTGGGAAGAGCATATCTTATAAGCCTGGTCTCGAAAAGAAGGAAAACATACACAGGCATAACTTTAGGCAATTTTTTCCTACTTCTTTCTCCAGAAACCATTTTCTTTGCATATGTTCTTTTGCAGTTTGGTATCCATCATCTTTCTCACCATCTTACAATCATTTTGGATAGAGTTAGGGCCATTAGTGGCTAGGTAGCGCCTAGGCCAAGCTAAGCTAGTTTATCAAATGGGAAAAACATCTCTAATCATAGTTTTACCCACAAACACCATACTTTAATTCTGTAAGTGAATGCTGTTGTTCACTATTTTTTCCTATTATGAGAAGAGTAAGAGCTTTGACTTTAGGATTGGATAAACTTTTGTTGAAACACACCTCTAGCCCTTAGTGTGAGATCTTTGGCAGCCACCTAACTTTTCCAAGCCTCAGTTTTCTCATGGCTAAAACTGAGCTATTTCTTGTTATGTTAAGATTGTTTTACAGGACTTAGTTACAGTGCCTGGCATAGAATTAGTAGTATTAGATGTTAGCTTAGAAACAAAAGTAAGGCCTAATAAAAATAGCCATTACTCATGATATTTTTTATCCTCATCTAGGACAATTTTTTCATTGCTTAGAGAGAGAGAGAGAGAGAGAGAGTGAGAGAGAGAGATATCAATGTGAGCAAGAAACCGATGGTTGTCTTCTCATATGTGCCCCACATGGGGATTGAACTTGTAACTTGGGTGTGTGCCCTGACTAGGAATCAAACTCAAAACCTGTCAGTTTACAGACTGAGCCACACTGTCCAGGGCCAATACTCATGATATCATAGAGGCCTGGAATGGGACCGGACTCACTTAAAGACTCAAGACAGAAAGAGTAGGAGATAATGAAGAAACAAGAATGCAAAGAACCAAGTATAAGAAAATCAGTTATAAACAAAGATGAGGGTACCTCTACATGTAGGCAAAACTCTCAGTATGATAATTAATAAGAGTGGTGTCCAAGTGCCTGGTGCGGGCTATCATCTTTCTGTGGTATTTTATACTTTCTACCTAAATATGGGCTGTCCTAGACTTAAAGTTATTAAGTGTAGTAAATTTAAACAAAAGATAGATAATTGAGGCCTGCCTTTTAACTTTTCTGTTAACTAGAATGGGGATAGAGATGCTGAAATCCCTAGAAGATGTTTATGCCCCAAAGCATCAAAACATGTCCTAAGAAACACATTTATAAGCTTATTTTAACATTTGCAGAATCCAAATTTTAAAGCAGTAAAAATATATTCCTAAAGGTAAAACATACCACAGTGTGCTTCATCTGAGCCGTCCGTACAGTGTGGAAGGCTGTCACAGAGATTGCCCAGGGGGATGCACTCTCCACTCTTACACTGGAAGCTGTCTTCCTTGCAGGGCTCTATGGGGAAGGAGTAGTTATTTTATAGGATAAAGAAATGACAAATAGATGGTTGTGGAGAATCTATCCCATGTCCATTCCTTAAAAAATCAACAAGCTCTTTAAAAGCAGCACATGGTCGCACTAGCTTTGCTATTAAATAAGGCGGCACACTTAGTTGCTCAGAATGCCTGGGAAATAGCAATGTCAGACCCAGAGATATGACTTGAGAAGAGCATGGATAAAACCTTAAGCATCTGTTTTGTAGAAGAACATGGGTCATGACACACCCCTCTCTCACAATCTTTGCTAGTGTTTCTTTAATACACTCCTCCACCCTAAAATGAACATACAAGCAGCAACCAATGGAGTGTTACACAAGTGTAGAAAGAGCTTTTGGTTTCACCAACAAAAAGCATACCTCCAAATCTTTATTAAATAGAAGTGTGGAGGTTGCCTTTTGGTGGGACCAAAGTTGGACCAGGCTGAAAACAGTGAACTCATTTAAGGTGTAGCCAGGTGAGAAAAAGTAGTCACAAAGAAATGGAAACTTTACAATAATGAATTTGAAAGGAATTTGGGGATCGGGGTCCAAACTACTAAAGCAGGGTTCGGGTCACGGAACGTGCTTGGCACATGAAGAAATAGAAGGAAAATGAAGAGGCTGGACAAGGAAGGAACTAAGAAGATCTGGAGGCAGGTGGTGGTTTCCAGAGTTTGAGTTGTGTAAAGAGAGACCTACTGGAACTATTCCTTGTTTGAATTTGAAGGGAGTAGGCGCTGCTGTTTTCTGGAATTGTTTGTTTGTTCTTAAGGGGGCAACCCTCATCTGATAGAGAGAGAGGGTGTGCTTCCCTCAAGATATTTTCTAAGTATGCCTCAGAAAGGAGAGCTATGTGGGATTCGGGCCCCTGAGAAGGGAGATGGTGGTCAGGTGTGGAGCGGCCTGATGCCCCCTTCCCCATGTAGCACGTGGGCAACCATAATGAAGAAGCAAAAGTACTTGATAAAAATAAGGAATAGGTAAACTTTGATTTTGAAAGCTATTAGCAAAAGCGAACCATAAACTATTATATTGTTTTCAAGGAGACAATTCAGGTTAAAATGGTTTCAGAATTAAATTGTACTAATCTCCACAGACTTTCTCAATGTATGACAACCAAATGCGACAGGACTTGAGAGGAATCATTCTTGTTTTAGAATCTAGATGGTAGCCCAAACCTGGGAGCAGTGGGAATGCTATGACATTCTGAAGAGAGTTACTATAGCCATATTATACTTACAAAAATGTAAAACGGATCCTGCAACTATCAATATCCATTACCCATTTTCAGTTGTTAAAAAAACAGTTACAGTATTTTTTTTCCTAAAAAATAGACTATGTAGCATTCTTGAAGAGGAGTGCTTTCAAGTGGGAGGGGGGAAATGATGCCATCTAGCACAAGGGGTGCGCTAGGCAGCTCCCGACTGAAAGTTTATTGCGTGGCAGAATCACAAGGACTGGGGTTTCCAAGGGACTAGCGCAGGGGCTTTCCAGACTTTTTTCTAGCTGTTGACTGTAGTAAGCAATAAATATTAAACCATACTCTAGGACACACAAACATGTTGTGTGTGTGTTCGTGTGTGTGTGACTAAATATAATACCATCATCCAGGTGGTAACGATGGTATTCCAATACCATCTGTTCCAATCTGTCCTGGGAGGGGGCACCCTCCCACTGTCCCCATCTAATTCCATTCTGTACCAAGGAATGCTGCACAAAAACAAATAAGTTGATTTCATGCCCACTCTTGAAAAATACCAGACTGAACTGAAGTACAGTGAAAAAACTCATGGGAGATGGTGACTTTAGTTTCCTAAAGTTTGTGGGCAGATAGCTGTGTAAATAAAGATGATATTCACTTCCCATGTAATGAATTCAGGAGTCAGAAGGTTGGTTGGAACTATTCCTGACGGTGGTTAAGGCTAGGAAAGAGGGTGGTGGTGGAAACAACCTGCATTTATCTATGAGTTGGGCAGTTGCATGAGTTTCCATTTGGCCAATGGACACCAGAAATTACAATTGAGTGACAGTATCCTGACAGACAAGCAGGTTCTAGCACAAAGATGTGGCAGGATGGGGTCTGGGGTGGGGATTAGGAGCTGTGTCAGGTTCTAAGGAATCATCTAGGAAGAGTATTACCCATGCCTGCAGTGAGGACGACCTGGGGAACAGTGTGTGGGGGGTGGGGGGAGAGGAACGCTCCCCAAAACCCACAACTCTGTCCTACAAAGGAGCCAGCATTTGGCTGGGAGCCACAGTTAACCAAAAGAAAATTACAGTGATTATAGATTTTTGTTTCCTGTCTGCTGCTCCCCCAATACTGGAGATATGTATAGGAAAATTGAAGGAAAAGAAAGTGAAAAATGAGTCAAAGACAATATATCTATTTTGCTCTATCTTAAGTTATTGGGCTAAGATGTGCCTGAGTTGAGTGATTTAAAAAAAAACAACCTTTGAATTACATGATATTAAAGTTTGATGCTATATTTAACACTGCATTTTAATATCTAAAAATGAGATTTAACTACCCAGTTAAGAAAATTTAATACCTCTGAAATAACTGACAAAGTGAAGAGATCTTCCTGACATATTCAGGGGCAAAAAGGGAAATTTGAAATAAAGTAGATGGAGAAAAATAAAAGTTTTTTTGGTTTATACTCTCATTGAGTTCATTCTGTAAATTGAATATGCAATATACTAGCTTCAATACTTATAAAGCCCAGGGCTTGATAAAATGCTAGTCACAAAGTAGAAAATCCTTAGATATTTGTTAAATGTTCAGTGAATTGATTCATGTTAAATGAATGACATGCCTCCAAAGTTGATACATGCTGGGGGAAGGGGACTACAAGGGGACTAAATGGTAATGGAAAAAACACAATAAAAATTAAACAAAAAATCGGTATAAGCCTTAGTGATAGAGTTGACACAATATAAAGCAATCTTTGAAAGTATGATTTAAAGAAATACATTTTAAGTTAGGCAATTTACGGGCTAATGATCACTCCACTGATTTGAAAAAAATAGGCATTGATTCTATTATCTTTATGAAAATAAAATTCATTATTTGAATTCAAATTATGGTTTTAAACCATGGGTTTAGTAATCTTGTGACCTTGGTTTGATCTACAATTTAGCCATTTCCTTTTACCTATTTTTTGACCTTGGACAAATTAATTAGCTTTTCTGAGAATCAGTTTCCTTGACTCTCAAATGGGTACAACTATTATTTATGTCTTAGGTATACCATGAGAGTAAGTTGAAAAATTAAAATGTACTGCATAAGAAATGAAGTAGCCAAGGAACCTACACACATGACCCATGGACATGAACAATGGTATGGAGATTCATTGAGGGAATGCGCAGTGCTGGGTGGTAGGGGGCAAAGGGGGAAAATTGGGACAACTGTAATAGCATAATCAATAAAGTATAATTACAAATTAAAATGTAGTTAGTATAGGCATATGAATACATTGAATGCTCAGTAAGTAGTATTCTTAACAGCAAAAATAGTAACATTTAAAAATTCTGCTTTTCACTGATAATTTTAAGTTCACCTTTCTTCTTCCATGGACCAGCTCTGTTCTGTTCTTCTCCAGGTAACCGTATGAACAACAAGAAATCATACTTAATCCATTCCTCTGGGTATCTTACAACAATAATTAGAGCTATTCGTATAGTTTATTTTCAACTTTGAAAAATTTTATATTTCTTCAATCCAATTCTTAGTTATCTTAATGAAAAAATATTTTAAGGAAGACATGGCCTGTTCATTATTTCTAGAAATCCTTGCCCCATGAGAGAAGTAGGCTACATATATCAAATGTAATACTATTAAGGGAGTTCTTGAAAATGTAATTATCAATTTGTTTCACAAATACATATTTTAACCAGATTAGTGAGATGATAAATGGGCAAAGAAAACTAAGTATTCTACAGGCAAACATCAATATTTTAACTAACTTTGTATTTTATCTTTCTCGTATTAATTTTCCTGTAGAAAACAGAAGGCTTGAAACTAGGTATACACATATTTGTATTTATATATTCTATTTAAAATCTATACTTTAACATGTATTATATTTATTTAAAAAGTTGGCAGCCTAATTAAATATCTTTCATTAAATATCTTTATATACTAATAGAATATTAGTCACCACTAGTTATTTTTAAAATACATCATTACTTTGTTTTCATAGTTTATTGAAATCATTATGTAAAAATGAGTTCTCAATGCCAATAATTTAATCATAAATAAATTTATTGATAATTTTACTCTTTTACTAGTGTAGTCAAGTTGTATTTAAATGGAAAAGCACAAACTTTTTGAATGGAAATTTCAATATCTGAATTAAAATATGAATGAAAACATATATAAAGATTTGAAAATTATAATTCATTTTTGTGCTCTCATGAAAGCTGTTAAGGTTATATTCTAGGAATTTAGAAAAATTAACTTATTTCTGTTAGAGGAATGCATTGAATAAAAAAATGCTGAATGGGATAAAATGGTCTGTTGTTGCTGAACTGACTAGAAATTATAACTTCTGAGAAGATGTATCTGAAACTTCTGAAACTCTTTCAAAATTTTCTTTACATGCATGAACTGTAACTTCTGAAACTCTTTCAAAATTTTCTTTACATGCATGAACTGTATTCTCCTTCTTTGCAACAACATATAGCAGTTCAGCTTCATCAAAAAGTCTTTAATCCTAAAGTTTTAGTCTCTGCAGCCTCTGAAATCTTATTTCTGATGGTCTTATGTTCATAGTGAGAAAGAGAAAAAGAAATATTGCAAAGAACTGAACTTCCCCATCTACCTTTTTATGAAGTCTCCAATAGCCTGGCCTCATTTAGTCAACATATGCTTGGTTTTAAATGGAACCGAATTGATCTCTAAGGCACATGCTACACAATCTAGGGAGAGCTCTACACCTCTGAATGTAATCAACTGCCACTTCCACAGTTGCCTGGTAAGCACCACTGAATTCCAAATGAAGACTCTCAATATCAGCAAAGAGCAATAAGGACACATTTATAGGAGATCAATCTTAATAAATCTGCATTTCATACATTCTAGTTGAATGTGCCTGGCAATGTTAAAAATAGGATTAAAAAAAAGGAGAAACCAAAATGTGCTATATAATTCTTTTACATTTCAATTAAAGGCTTTGGAAGTTGTTCCCAAAACATCTCAGAAGATAAATGAAGCACGTAAATGCTGAACAGTTATGATATCCCTTTTATACCTCTTCTGAACTGACCATCAAAGCAGAGCACCAATATAAACAGATACGTGTGCCCAGCCTCTCTTTCCATTACCAGCTTGATTATCTGCCTCTGCCAATTCCCTGTTTCTGTAATTGCTTTTCTGCATTTTGGTGTTAAACATCTCTCTGGGAGAAGGCTGTGCTGATCATGACTCAGTCACTCAATTTTCTGCTCCCCAGCAGCATCTGTCCTGTGTCCAGGAGGACAAAGTGACAGTCATGGAAGATTCCACTCTAACCTCAATCAGGGTATTTTCTCTAAATGATGTACGTCCTAAATAACATCATCATAGCAGTTGAAATCTAGTGAAAGGGTGAACAAGTATAAACAACCTCAACACTGGAAATCTGGAATCTGTTTTGTGTTGGAAGTAATAGATTATGCTCCTCTGGCTTTTTTCTTGAACAGAAATGGCTTATAATATTTTTTTCAAAATCTTTGGTGGTGTTGTATTTATCTTATTATAAGATTCTGGTTAAAAACCCATAGCTGTAATATTTTTAATGCAAGAGATCTGTTGCTGTCCCCCTTTTCACAACCTATTATTTTTCCACTTCTTCCCTCCTTCTTCATTTATAATTTAAAATATGGGTTTAAAAATTTACCATTTCTCTAAAATTTTGTTTCAAGATGTTTTCTCTTTTGCAGGTGGTAGAATGCCCAATAATCACTTACTTGGCTTTGTGAATGAATTTACCCACTTAGTAGTTAGAGCTACTAGCTTTTATAGTTCAGTTGGTTTTAATGTTCATCTCTACTTTTTAAAAAATATAATACTTTTTAAAAAAGTTCTTTCCAGGAAACTATCCTTGGAAAAAAGTTGGGAGACTCTTGCCTCCAGTAGAACAGGTATTAGGTATTTGCTTGCTCTATTTTGAGGTACTTTGGAGAATGGAGCACATACTTGTATTGCATTCAGATATGAATGATATTGATGCCTACACATTTTTATTATAGCAGTTTCTCCTCCAAAACAGAAATATCATTCTGCTGTGTTCAAATAGTCATCATGAAATGAGCAATATGTAAAGCTTGTCTGATTTTTAAAACTTTCAAAGATGATATTTTTCTGTGTAGGAATTTGGCCCAAATTTTCCTCTTGAAATTTAAAATTTCAACAGGGAAGTTATAATACTGATTTGTGCTAAATAATGTTTTACAGCCAACAATACATCTTCCCTGGTAGTTTTGATTGTTTTTTTCCCTTTGAAAATGCCTATTATTTTGAAATTGTGGCCTTGTGTTTTTCCTGCACACCAGTACATACTCTCATAATTGTTAAGCTTTTCTGTTCAGGGCAAGGACGGATAAGATATGGGTCATTTCCATGTTTGCTACAAAGCTGAAAGTATACAACTTTCTGTGACACAATTAAAGGTCTCAGCCAGTGGTGAGTGGAGGAGCAGGTAATTGCACAGGATAGATCTGGGATTGGATAATAGGCCGGATGAGGATCAGAGCTCCACCCTTCCTCTTTTCTAGACATTTTAAGTAAAAAACTGACCACAATCTCCCCTGGAAGGGAAAGATAGGTGGAGGAAGTATCCTGTATTCTGTCTTTCTGACATATTTGCATCTGGAGAGAAGCACAGGTGTGGGCAGTAGCATAAGAAAAATTGTAGTCGAGGAGGAGCAGCAAGTGAGAAAAAGTTCTCTGTAGATTGTTGAATGCAGATAGTTATACCATGGATTAATAAATAGATATAGACATATCCATGATGAGAAGGCAGGAAACAATTTTGCTTCTTCTCCTGCTACTTATGTTATGGATATAATAACAAATAAGGTAAGAAGGTTGTTCGTACCAGCAAAAATCAGCATCAGATTCCTTCATCCTTCATAGAATTGGCTTTACTCTGCTTGTCTCTAAGAAGTTAATGATGTTAATATTTTAATTGGATGTTGTTGGCATTCAAACAGCTCACTTGACTGTCTCCCTGCTGTTCTCTAAAAATGCTCTTGGCAAAGGGAATGTGACAGACAGTCCTCCTTCTGCACAGTGCCAAAACCCCATTTTAATGTTTAAAATGGCTCTCTTCGGTGAATAAAATTCACAACCCTCTCTACACCAGAGAAGTGCAAACAGATCTGTTGAAAAGTGATATAGATTCCTCTTTGAACAAATTCAGGTAATGGTTAAATAGATGTAAAGGGAGGAAGGCAATCTTGGTTAAGATGAGGAAAAATGAGTGTTTTTAGATTGTAGACATTGACACGTCCTATATGGTTTTATCGATTTGCTCCAGGAGTTACAATGCAGTGTGTAATGCCAAGTGCACTTACCTGGAATCCCCAAGCGATAGCCAGTAGTGAAGTTGGCTTTAAAACCCTGTTTTGTCAACTGATTATCAGTGATGAAAAGCACAGTCATTCTGTTGGTGGTTGAGAACACATCCTTTACTGGACCAGGCCCTGTGTACACAGCTGCTCCAAAGGAAAACAAGAAAATCAGCGAGATGATCGATTCTTAGGATCTAGAAGAAAATATACCCTGTTTCTCCATTCCATGCAATGTGCATATTGTATGGAATGTAAATTCTTTTACACTTTGGGCAGTACTGCTTGGAAGCCAACTTTTCTATTGATCTTTTCCGATATTGCTTGAGGTTTCTGTGGCTCTGTAATTTAATGATGAATTAGTCATAACATTATCTGGGTGATTAGCACCACTACTATTCAAGCTCGTGTTATTACAGAAAAAATGATTATTTGGCTGCTTCTAAAGACCATTATAAAACAGTGGAGATTATAATCTCTCTTAGTAGTTTTGTCCAAATTTACTAGACATTTTTTTGTGAGTTGAATCGGTAACCTAATCTGAAGGATAGCTTAATTAGAAATAGATTACATAAACTTAAATGGTGTTTTCAAAATTTTTTTTGCACTAACTCCTTGGTTTTGGGGCTTGCATAAACAATGAAATACTTTTTACTAACAATGAAAGTTTAAGCTAATTACAATACATTCATATTATTAAGAAATTTATATTTTGAAATCTGAAAGCAATTCTGTTTCAAAAATTTTTGTCTACAAATTAGAAAACTGATTTTGTGACCCTTTTAGAATTCTTATTTACTTTTCAATGACTTATGTAAATATAACAGGTGGAATGATTATAAATGATTTTTCTAAGATCATGAGATCACTGAAGTTTTTATTGGAAGGACAATGTAACCAAAAAATGGGAAAACTACCCAAAATGTTTTTATAATTGTACATAAGAAAGTTAAATTTGAAGTTCCTCAGTTCTCTCTAGCACTAACCTCCCAGCCCTGCTGAATCTTCCATTGTATATTTGTACTGTGTGTAGCCCTCAGAATCCTCTCACAGGAGGCTCATAGTCTAGGACTTCCTGGGATTTTGCTGAAGAGACCCATGTTACAGGTAATAGATTAGTATGGCTGTGGAACCCCCTCTGCCACTCTGCCCCTTCATTGCCGAGGAAAGTGCTCTCTGCAGTCCTCACCCGTTGGTCGCAGTGTTCCTATCATTGCTGTCTGACTGTATCAGGTCAGATTGTATAGGAAATGGCTAATACAAGTCCTGAGTCCAGTTAGACAAAACGCCTTTCCTTATACAGTGTGGTGTTCATGCATTCCAGTTGATGCTTTATGTATTTTCATACTTTAATCTATGTCTTAAAAGTTGGTAGTTAGATAAGATATTAGCTATTATACTTGACAAAGATTTTTACTATGTTAACACTCGTTTTATCAGTTTGATATGAAATAATATTTGTTTTGATAGCTACATTTGGACACCTGATGCACACATAACACATAGAAAACTGCACAGCAGTTGTCCTTAGCTCTTAGTCTCTGAGGTGTAGTGCTTATTGTAGGGAGTTAGTCCCGGCTAGTAGGAACTGCTGGCTCAAAAATGTTAATCCTGGTTTGCTAAGAATGCTCAAGAAGAACATTATCCTATCATCCTTGCAACATCTTCCCCCAAATTAAAAGCTCTACATAAAATATGACATGCTACTCTACTGTTTCTTAGTTATAAAAGAGTACATTTATTGAGAAATGCTCTCTCCATCAGTCCAGAGTCTGGAGCTATACAACCTTCACAATATTGAAACTGCAGACTTACCTAAGAGCGAAGAATCATCTCCTTCACCATCTCTGATTTCAACCACATCTGCAATATTTTCTAAGTCAAACTCTTGAAAATGAAGTTGTATATTCTTTCCTTTTTGTGCATTTAAATTCCAAACACCTTAAAAGTAAAAACAACAATATTTATTTTAGAACACATTTGTTTGTATTTTTAAAATTTCACTGTCTTGAGAATTTCAAATTACTTTCAAAGATTTTTTTCCACCTTATGAAAACCAATACTCCACACTCTGATTTTTTCATGTGTGCATGAGAAAATATATTGGTCTAGTCATAAATATTTATAGTAAAGTTTCTATAAAATTTGAAATGATTTAATATTTTAATCAAAGCTTACTAATATTATTTTGTTCCTATGATATTAATTTTATAAATATCAAATATATTAGTATGCTACTTTTATTTTTCATGATTTAATTGAAAGGAAAACGAGGTGATTAAATGCAATTTCTAAGGCAAGAAAACTTTACTATGTCTTTAAGTAATTTTGCCATTATTTAAATATGTTGTTTACTGGTAGTTCATCTTGAAAACAAAACAAAATAAAACAAAACAAAACAAAACAATTAACAGCCTTAGTATCAGTAAACACTTCTTCTTTTTTTATTAGTTCTTTAAACAATTTATTCATTGAAATTTATTGAATTCTGTTCTAGGCTCTTTCCTTGTTGTTGTGTATGTGCTCTCATTCACTTGCAGGTAAGAGCATTTCATCGACATTGTGACTTTCAACTCTTATTTTCTACACTTTTTTGGAGAAATAGAAAAATTTATCTGATTATTTTGTATGTAGATATATGTATCTCAAACTCAACATGCAGTACCTAGAATACAGAATTACCTTCTTCCTAAACTCATTTCTTATTCCTCCTATCTCAGTATAGGGCACTACTCACAGCTGTCTGCACCAGAAACCTCTTCATCTTCCTTCACCTCCTCTCTCCTACCACAGCCAGTCCCTCACCCAGGCCAGCCAACAGTACCTCCTATACCCCTCGATCTCACTTACTTCTGAGTCTCCATTGCCACTATGTGAATTTAAGTCACTGTTATTTTTCATTTCCTAATTGGTGATGCTGATGGCCCTCTTTCCTTGCCATCAATCTCTGATCCTTAAAGGTAGATGGATTCATCTAAAATGCAAGCTTGATCTTATCACTATTTTCATGTAAACCCTTTGAAGTCTCCCCAGTGCTCTCAAAATAAAATCCAAACTGCTTGACATGCTGTGAAATTCCTTCACACCTCAAATAGGTAACACCTATTTGTTACCACTCTTTAATTTTTCTTGGAGAGTCAGGAAAAGAAATTATATCTCCTAACCCCTGAACTTCCTGTGTGTTATATACTTCTCATGTCTTTCTACAGTTCTGCCTTTGTCCTTATTATGACAGTACCATGGACATTTTGTAATGCTTGACAACTCATCTGAAACTGGACTATGTTTGTTTCTCATTCACTTACTTCAATGCCTAACAAATAAAGTGTTCAATATATGCTTGTTGGATTAATCAAAGCATTTGATACATTTCTCCAAATTGTTCTTTCAGTGTTCTGCTGGTTTTCAGATTTTTTAAAATCATTACTTTGTACAAGGGATATGCTTAAAAAATGTCTTCAGTGTGCAGTAGAGATGATGATATCTGGTTGTCCAAACAAGTCAAATTAGATTAATGGCTGTTTATTTTTTTGAATCAGATATCTCCCTAAAATAATGACTCTCTTATTCTGTGAAACTGACACTTATCTCTGGATCATTTGAAGCAAGAAAAGTTGACAGTTCCTAACAACACACTTTTTCACTGTCATTGGGGCACTTCTTTCACTGGTAGAAGTCTTTGTTTAGCTCCATGGTGCTAACCAGGTGTGGCCATGGGAAAAACACACCTATTTCCAGACCGAAGTAGAATCTCTGTGGGATGGGCTGGGTATCTGTACCTTTAACACAGTCTCTACTCAGCTCTAATGAACTCCTCTATTTGGGAATAATGATCTAGAGATAGGCTTTGTGCATGTTTAGCTAACTCCCCTTCTCACTAGACTTAGATTTTTTTAGTGATTCTTTTTATTATTTCATCTTTTATACTGAGAACCTAATTGCATTATTTTAGCTACTCTATTGATTCTAGTTTATATTTATAAAAGGTGCAGGTATCACAACTGGCTCTGTGCTGTTTATACTCTTCACTGGCTTTATTCTTTGGGATTGCAAAGTTGTTACATTCACTGTAGGCATTATGTGTATAATTAAGCAGAGTCACTGAGACAGTGGTTTCTGGAGTAAGCTTGGGTCTTTCACTTTCTTGTTTGATTCAGATTTTAAACTGAGAATTACAGTAATAGCACCTGCTTCCAAGAATTATTGTGAGAATGAACTGAAATAATTCATATTAAGCACTAATACTGTGCCTGGCCTGAAATAATTGCTTAAAATAGTAATTTTATTTTTGTTATTCTTGTTCTTGTCATTATGCTAAACAATCTCATAAATGGGGTAGATGTACCTATATATAACAAATTTGTAATCTACTTTGCTGTGTCAAGGGGAAACTTTGAAGTATGCAACTGTTTTTCATAGCTTGAAGAAATGACTCACAAAAAGCCTGATTAGGGTAGTTGTCTGGAAAATTCATAGAAGTAAATGTTGTGTTTGGCTCCCACAGTTCAAAGGGTCCTCCACAGTCCGCTGTAAAGGAAGACAATAAAAATCATTAGTAACATCATGTTTATTTCTGAGAGGTAATATTATTTGCTAAAAAATTATCCAGTTACATTTCTTGGCCTTGATAGATAAATTTTAGGGTTTGTAGATGCAACAATCTTGCAACTTAAGTAAAAGAACCTAATCAAAACAAATAAGCAAGCAAAATTAACCAGAAACATTGAAATTAAGAACAAACTGACAGTAACCACAAGGAGGTGGAGGGGATGTTGGAGAGATTAGGGGGAAGGATTGTCAAAGATCATGTACAAAGGACACATGGACAAAGCCAAAGAGGGGTAGGATTGAGGGTGGGAGGTGGGGATGGCTAGGGTGGGGGAGTGGTGGTGGGGAAAATGGAGACAACTGTGCTTGAACAAGAATTAAACATTAAAAAATAAATAAAATTTAAAAAGAGAAAATACAGGTAAATAGGTCTCAAAACCTAACATATTCCACTGTTCTCTGTGAACCTCCAAGAGGCCATAACATTTTACAGCATTTTCCAAAATAACTTGGGCAAGAAAACATTTCTGCTGAATACATTTTGTAAATAGGCTTCATGAGTAAAGTATCAATCCTCTGAAGTAAAAAAAAAGATAATAAGACAAGTCTTATATCTGCCATTCTCTTATAAGAAGGCCTACTAAATCACTAATCTTGCCATTTCTTGCTTTGTTCTCAAACTTTTTTTTTTTTTGGTAGAGGGGAAGCTTCATCGTCCTGTTTATTGAGGCATTCAACTGTCAGGAAAGAGAGAAAAACTGAAACTTCACTTGATTAATAGTCCTTGTAGAGTGACTTGTTACCCAACATTGTCCAGCGGTCAAGTTAGGACTAAACTTAATGCAAATGTGTTAGCAAAATCGAGCAGAGATCTTTCCGTTGAAAGTATGTTTTAAGTAGGTAGATTAAGTTTATGAAATTCTTAGCATACTTTATATTTTTATCTTCTTGCTTATTAAAAGAAAATTACAAAGTAATGTAAAAATTCACCCTGGCTGGCATTGCTCAGTGGATTGAGCGCAGGCTGCGAACCAAAGTGTCACAGGTTCGATTCCCAGTCAGGGTACATGCCTGGGTTGCAGGCCATGACCCCCAGCAACTGCACATTGATGTTTCTCTCTCTCTCTCTTTCTTCCTCCCTTCCCTCTCTAAAAATATAAATAAATAAAATCTTAAAAAAAAGTAATGTAAAAATTCATAAACTACTTTTGGTATCCCAGTTTCTGTTTTTATTATCATGCTACACTTAAGATAAAAAGATAACCTAATAAAGGTAACCTAATTTGAAGAATATAGAAAACTGAAATAATTGTATATTTTTCCTATTATTAAAGCAGACTCTCCACTGGAATTATTTACTCCCAGTAAGAAAATAATCATATTATAAGAGGGATAATTAAATATCTCTACAGCTATGGCAATACCACAGTAAGATCCTCTTCTTTGATCCCTAGTTTACATGTAACCTGACTTATGTCTGTAGATCCTGTGAAAGTCATGCGCATTTTCCATATTTGTATGTATCTGATGGAGCAGAGAGATAGTCACTGTGGCTTGAGAGCAGTATCATTGCCAACCTATCCTGTGGCAGAGTCTAGTCCACCTGATATGCCCTCCTGGGTCAGGCTTGTCTGGACCGAGATGAGCTTAGCAAGCATAATGAAACTTCTTATACAAATTTATCTTTTGCAAAGTGTTTCTATAAATATTTTCTCTGGGGAAAGAACATGGTGTATAAGAGGAAGATGTGTTAGAGTTGGTGCATTAAAATCGTCACTCTGAGTAAGTTCCTTGTCTGTTTGTGGCTTGGTTTTCTCATATATATAAGAGATATATAAGAGATTTTCATGGTTGTTGTAAAAATCAGACATCATTTATAAAATATGCCTACACATTGCCTGGCATATTCAGGGCTGATTTTCAATGCATGTTTGTTGATTAGGTCATTACTATTATCATTTCTATTTTAAATGGACAATTTAAGCATTGTCCGCATTCTGTTACTTGCTACGTACACATTCACTTCCTGTCAAAGTCAAAACTTCAACTCAGTTAATCACAAGCTCTTCCCCACAGAATGTTACTATCTCCTATTGAGTTGATTAAACTCTGAAGCATTTTGACCATCTGGTCCGAGCCACAGGCAAAGTTTAGACTGATTCTCAATAAGTGGTACTTGATGAGTATATGACATATTCCTGACGGGTATGGACAGAAGGAGGGGAGAAGGGATCATTAATGAAAGTACTAACAAATCATATCAATCATGGGTAGATGGGGAAGGAGGAAAGCACTGTATGCAGGGTGCTGAAGGAGATACTTGAGCCATAGAAAGTGATAATGAGAACGAGGGCAGGTTGTCCCCTGGAAAGGGTGAGAGAGAGGTGAAGGGAATCGTATGTTCCCACAACAGCTGTTCCTCTCCTGTTTTTGTGACTAATAGTCTTGCCAGGATTTCTGCAGAAGTATCTACTGCAACCCCTTAACTCATATTCATTTAATTTGAATAATTCTAAGTGCTATGAATTCTTCCTTCAATTCTCCGTGGAACTCACAGGGAAGGAAAAGTTTAATGGTGGGGACAAAAATAACACTGAATATTGAGGGCTGGGCAAAAGCAGCTCTTCCTCGTTCACAAGTTCAGCCATGGCTCATGAGGTCAGGGAAATATTGTGTTTTTGTTTGGTCTCTTGTTGATTTTTTTTCTTTTTTTAAATTTGATCTTTATTATATTTTCCTCATTACCATTTAGTCCCTTTAAGTTGTTGTTGTTGATTTTTAATAATCATTCTAATTTTCTCTTCAAGGAATAGGAAAATTTCAAAATCAGCTACTCCTACTTGCTGACATTTTAGAGAATGTATTGGAATTTTACATAATGAAACACTTAACAGTACTTTATATGTAGATGAGTAGGCAGTGTTAGTGTAATTGGCTAATTACTAACATAAGGAAGGAGGCAAAGGGAATCCAATAGTAAGCTTAACAGACTAGGGAATTCTTTTCTCTTGATGCTTCATTTTCACCAGCAACAGTAAAACTTTAATAAAGACACAACGAGAACCCGAATGTTGTCAAGGCTAACTATTAAGTGTGTCAAAATAGGCAGTTTACATACCATCTCTCCAATAAAAAGGAATCTTGGAAAATTCATTCCTTTAAAATACTTAAGAGGTACTTTTTGAAATGCATTTCAAATATACCTTTATATCAAATAAGTAACTAGTGAAATATACCTCTGATCCTTGACTTGATGAAAAATATCAGTTACTCTGCATACAAATGACTGTAAGGAATTGACAGAAGCAACTGTCAGCCACTCTGCCTCTGCTGACACTATTTATTGTAATGGTGGTGTTGCTGCTGTGGAAACGTAGCATGTGCTTCTTAATGGAGGAACCAGAGACTCGTGAAATGTAATTCTGGATACCACAGTCATGCTGTGTTATTAGATTAGACCATTTCCACCCAGAGAAAGAGAGTTAAATTGCCTGTCTGGTACAGGGAACTCTATTCATTTACAGTTGTTAAACTCTTTCATTTTTCTTTTTTCTTGGAGCTGTTCTCTCAAAGATTTGTGCTCTGATTAATTTGTTACCATGCCCACGGGGCTCTGACATCTATGAGCTGTGTGTCGATGTGGACGCAGTCACTATGAGATGAAAAGGAGGAGAGCCCAGCTTCATCTGTGATGAGAGGGTTCAAATGAAAGATTTTTGATAAAACAAACATCAATATTACAGCGATGCAGAGCCATATAGCAGTATTACAGAAAACATTTGAGAAGCTTCACTTGTAATATAAAAATCTCTCACCAAAATCCATGCTCAGTTTATGAAAATTTGTATTTCTACTAACAAGCTGTAGTGCCCAACCACGATGATAATATTTTTATCACATTTATGCCAATAAAGCCCAAATGCTCATTCTTTTGTGCTTTAAATTGTATTTGTAGTTGATAGCCATGTAGTCAATGATAGCTCTAATAAATAGGCTATTAGTTTTAAAGGTAAAGAGACAGAGAAATAAAATAGCCAAAAATACATTGATACAGAAGTAAATGAGTAAACTTAATGCCATTGGCTAAGGGTTTGAATACCAAGTCACACTAATAATCTAAAAGGGAAGCAGTTCTGCTGGAATATGGCCATCAATTACAAGAGAGGTAGGTAGGTACTGATTCATTTCTACATGAAGAACTGAAGTTAAATTATTTAGCTCTAGGTATAATGTGATGCTTATAAAACTTTACAAATTAAGTTTTACTTTACCTTTAGAAATGGAAAATGGCCTAATAATGGCCAAATAGAACAAAACCTAAGAAATAGAATAGCTAAAACTATTGTTTGTCCTGTTTCTTTTTTCTTAATTATTTTGAACAGAATAGCCACAGGAACAAATCAGGGAACTAAAATGCAGATTTAATTTTGTAGATACTGATACTACAGTATCTACAAAATTAAGTAGGTGTCTTGTCCTGAATCATCCTTGTTGTGCTGTAATTGGCATGATATTTGTAGGAAAAAAATTTACTTTTCAAAGAGTTCTCAGTGCAGCCCCTGCATTATTTGTGCTGCTGTCATGGGACACTGATCTTAGCAGGACCGAACTTATAAAATAGAAGAATTCCTGAAGTTAGGGAAACAATTCACACTTCCCCAAACTAGGCACAACGGGGACCCCTAGAAACAAGGGAGGACACTGATCTTTTCTAGGGATTATTATTATTTTTTTCATTAAAATGCACAAGAAGAGCTAAAGAAAGGCTATGAGCCAGTCAGCCAAGGTTTCCTTTTATTTCTCCTTAAACAAATCAGTGATCTGCAACCAGGAAAGCTCTGCTCATATAAGAATTTCACTGAACCCAATGCAAATGGCATTAGAATGAAATTGTTCAGAATGCATTTGATGGTAATTAACATTTTATGCTGCGCTAAATATTGCCCTGAAGTGAACCATTTAGAAACTGGAACAAATAGATTCTGGGAAAAAATTTGAAGTTTATATATTAAAATCAGATGGGTTACTCTACCATTATAATTCCCCTATTGTGAAAATTTGCAGAAATAGCTTACTTCCTTGACATTTAGGTATTATCTTTCTCTCTTTTGGACTGGAATAGATAAGAGGACTATATGGATTATATAGAAACATTTTTAAGTGGGAAATAATATACAACATTTTATTTATATGTATGATATTATATACAAAATGATCTCAAATTTTTATTTTAAATAATGAAATTATGCTCTTCTTCAAATATCAAACCTTTGTTACTTCCACCTAGAAAATTTTCTTCTAGATCACTTATTGTTGAATAGAACCTACTGCCAGAAGGATTGCAAGGAAAATCTATTGTTTTAAATTATTCCAATATCAAAATAGCAAGATATTACTAATACTTGGTATCCAGAGGAATTGTTTATCAAACCAGCAGTGATTTTTATCATTATAATTTGTTTTTTTTTCACATGGAAATATTTTAAATAATAGAGAAGTAAAGTGTGGAGCACCTACACAATATAAATAAAGTGAGACAATAATTTTTAAACAGTGCTACAAAGCCCAAATTATTGTGGTTGTATTATTTTCTAGAATCCTGTCCCCATCATAATTTCCAAGCTTTGGTTCTTTTTTTTTTAGACAATTTTCTTTTTTTAAAGATTTTATTTATTTATTTTTAAAGAGGGAAGGGAGGGAGAAAGAGAGAGAGAGAAACATTAATGTGCGGTTGCTGGGGGCTGTGGCCTGCAACGTAGGCATGTGCCCTGACTGGGAATCGAACCTGCGACACTTTGGTTCGCAGCCCGCGTTCAGTCCACTGAATTACGCCAGCCAAGGCTTCAAGCTTTGGTTCTTGTATCAAATTTTTGCTTGACAAAAATGTTTGTGTTATCAAGAGAAATAAATAGACAAAATTGACAGAGAGAGACAGACAGAGATAATTAGTTCATATCTAGTAACACCTAATATTTATTCATAATCCATTTATATAATAGTAAGAATGAGTCAGACACTCATGAACCAAAGTGAATTAGAACCAGAGTTTAGTGTAAAGAGTCTCACTTCTTGCCACAAGTTTTTGGTCAATATTATTAAATGAGAATGCATGGTATTTTCCTGCTTCTGTTTCAGTTTTATGAGTTTCATTCTGTTTCTTAATCTTAATTATTTTTAAAACCTTCTTCAGTTCATACTCCCTTTTCCAAAATCCCCCATTACTTGTTTTTCTCATTTATTACTTTTAGGGGCACAGAATTATATATTGCTTTTAATATTTATTTATATGAATTATATTTATTTATTTTGTCCAAGCATCAATGGCTATCGCTACAGCTTACATCTTATGTGGTACTTTGTATATGGTAGATATTTATATAATTTTAATGAATGTTTAAAATATTGAAAACTTTATGTATAACCCCTCCAAGCATCTAAACATGTTAGTACCCAAGACAGTAATGACAAGTTAGCCTTTTGGTGGGACGTAAGGGCACTTTCCATATGGCCTCATGAGACCAGTAAGTATGACAATGTTAATACTAAGTGCATTTTACCAGCAGCTCATTCATTACATGTTCTCAAACATCAGTCATTTATCTTTAGAGCTTTTGAGTTGTTACCACCACTTGTCTGAAAAGTCTGTTTTTAACTTCAAGATTAGAAAGCAGGGAAATATATAGTTTTGGAAGCAAAACAAAACATGTGGATAGTTTCACCAGATTGATTTGCTGATGTGAACATGGGAAGGAAACGGGAACTGGGGAAAAGTGCTGGTTGTTACAGCTCAGCTCCATGGGAGAAGAAAAACGTTCACAAGATTCGACAGAAGCAACGCTGTGGAGCCAGGTCAGCTTCCAAACACCATACTCCAAAGACAAAAGAGAAGTTTTTACATTAAAACTGCACTACAGTGAAAACATCCTAATAAAGGGACAATGGGTGTTTAATTTCATTTATCATTAATTTCTTTTGTCAAATCCTGTAGTCTGAAAGTGATATGAAGTCATTATCTCTTTTGACATGGATAAGATTACTGGTGATGTCCCTTTGCTTCTGAGATGTTGTGTTTCCAATTTGACTTAGAGCAAAGGTAGACACAGGCTTTATTTTCACTCTTTGAGGTAAAAGCCCCATCTGACACCAGGAACTGCAACACATCAGTGGTTCCATGAAGGGAGCACATTGGAAGACTTACAGTCACCGTTTCAGGACAAGCATCTTTTGTGTGACCTAGGTCTGTCTATTCAAAGTCCTGGCCCAATCATTACTATTGAATTATTCTGGAAAGGGGCTTGGTGGGTTTCAGGCTTAACCAAACTTCCTTTGTGACCTTAACATAATTCCTTAAGAAGGCTTTGAAAATCATAAAGCTTCTTCCCAAAAGACTATAGGTCATGCCACATGTCACATGGAAAATGCAGTGTTAACTTTGTATTCCAGTGAAAGCCAAATAAAAATTAGAAACCTTCATCATTCTCAAAAATAAAAAGGTACTAAATTATCATAAATATGTGTAACAATATAGTGAGTAACTTTGATTATAAGTTGATATATACAACATTTAATATTTTGCTGGCTTCCATTTTACTTATATTTTAAAGTCTTAGATTTTCAGTGAAAAAAATAATGGTTGAAGTAAAAAAATAAGCCAAAGAAAGAGACAGTTGAAAATATTAATGTCTTAGTCAGGGAAAAGACACATTAAGGTTACTTACTAGGAAGTTCTGGTGGAGGTGTTGGGACCAAAGTTGGTTCTGGATGAAGACTCGCATTGCAAATCCCATGTGTTAGGTCAATGTCATCCAATGCTATATCACTCAGGATCTTGTTTTTAAAAGCATTAAAGGAAACCTGTAATTCAGAGAGGCATATGAAATGATTCCACTCAAATGTCCTCTGACTTGATTCTTCTTGTGGCTCAGTATTCTCTGGAGAACCAATACTGCCATCTTCAAATACCCGAGAACAAGTTACTACCGCCCAGGGCAACAGAGCTGGATCATGCTTCTCAAGCTTCTGCTGAGCCCACCTCCCTTATTATGTGTTCATACCAGCCTAAATTTTTAACAGTATCTTCCTTCTGAGTTAGGCTTATTGCCCAGTCTGTCCCTGTCCATGCCTCTTTGTCACATGGGGCTATCATGTTCTATCGTGCTGGGTCTTGCAGAGACAAGGTCTGGTAGGGAAGAGCAAACTTCTCCCAGATTCTTCCCCCAATATTAGACATCCAAGTACTTGTTTGCCTTCTCAGAGGATATGGGCCCTAAGAAAATATGCTTGGATTAGATCATTTAAAATGGAGAAAGTATGTCAGGGGCACAATGTGATCATTCAGGGCCAGCTGGTACTGGTTTTAGTTCACCCAGAAAGCTGGTGTGAGGTACTGTGTGAGGGTAATGCCCAGAAGACACAGACCCAAACTTGGGAGAGAGATTCAGTGGTCATATAAAGCATATTTTTAGTCAGACTTTCCTAAATCTTCTCCTGTGTAAGAAAGAAAAGACAAAAATTGAATACTTATCTGTTTTATGCTAATTGCTATGTTAGTCCCGTTATACATTATTGCATTTTTCCAACACTATAGAGTCATCTCTTCACTCATTTCTTGTTCCTTTCTTTAACCTACTTCATGTCAGACACTATTCGAAATAAGGATTATTTTTTCCCTTTCATTATGGGCAAGCTGAATTGCAAGGGAACGAACATGATTTGTTTAAGATTTCACAACAAAGTGGCAAAACCAAGGTGAAAACGTTTGTAGAATTTCATGCTCTCACTCAGCTTGATGAGCTAACTTTGAAAAAATTGCTCCAGTTTTATTACTTAAAAACATGTTCAGTGAGTTGAGCCAGACGTAGCCGCTGCAGCACTGACGTCCCTGCTTCTGCCACCCCTGTGCTCCCTTGAGGCTCCATTTCCTTTCCCCTCCTTAAGTGATCAGAACACAGCCCAAGGAGGAAAAAAAAAGACTGCAGAATTGAAGGACAGAATTTGAAAAAAGAAAAAAGGAAAAAGACAAGAAAGAAAGATGGGAGAAATAGAGATGAGGGTCGTTGATTATCGCTCCCCTTATACAAAATCACGGGACAAAACTGAAGCTTTCTGATGACAACGTGCATCCAAAAATACATCTTCTGAAAGTTAGACTCTCTTGTCTGAAGTTACCCAATTAAAACATTGTTAACTTGGTCAAACTATTAGCCTTTATAACCCTACATTTTAATTGTAAACACCCTTAGGAAGAGAACCTATTAAGCTGTTATCTGAAAAATTAATTCAGCCTAATGTGAAATAAATGATTGGAGATATCTCAACGATACAGCTCATAGAATTTGCTTTTAAAGGGAATGAAGATTAAGTCTGAGTGGGGCAGGGTGGCTGGATAATGGTAGGTGTGGATGTTCTAACAGGAAAGGATATTCCCTAGAAAAGTGCAGGGCTGATCCTGCCGGTATTTGTAAGAAGTTGAAAGTCCTAGTAAGGCAGGGGCATACGAGGACACAGTCAGCTTGTGCTAGAAAATTGCTGAAAAAAGCTGAAATATTCTACTAGGTTTCCACAGACTTTATGGCTCGTTATAAGTAATGCTATCTGAGGTAAATTACTCCTCAATAAGTGGTTTTTAATAAGTCAATAAATAAATAAAAATTAGAAGCACTCAAAGATTAAAGAAAGAAGGTAGATTATGAAAGTAGAGAAAGTGATTTAGCTGTATTTGGAAAATAAAATATTTCAGCATATTAATGAAAATTATAATTGTACCACCATTTTTCAAATACAAGTAAATGATTATAAGACACAAAATATTTTGCCAACCTGAAATTCCACTGTTTCATTTATTGTTACTTGTCCATAATTCCAGTTTTTTCCGTAATTTCCTTCCTTTTGGAAAATTATCTTCTCCATGTTTTGCTCACTGCTGATATTAACGCTTAATTTGTAGACATTTTCCCCATACATGTAATACCTAGTTTGGAAAGAAGCAAAAGTGATTGGATTCCTAAAACACTAGATAAAGGCATTTTAGGATTCTTCTAAATCCTTTACTGTCTTTTTAAATATCCCCTTTCTCTTGGGTGAGGGTGTTGTTGGAGAAGGGGTGGGGAGTCTCCCAACATTTTACTTCTTTATCAGTTGGAAAAATAATGGCTAATTCATTAAAACTTGCGAAAACATCTAGTGAAGTTGAAGCCTTGCAACACGAGACAGGCAGTGTTACTTATGAAATAATATGCTATTTAACACATGTCTACACCATACCAGAAGCTAAGGCACACTGGTTCCAGAGTGGGCTTCAAAGGGAGGCTTAGGAGCTTTACTCTTTCTTGTCTACCTCCTGGTCCAGTTGGGGTGGAAATGTAATACCCTGTAAAAAACGCCAAAAAGTGTTACTTCAGTTAAATATTAGCATTTTCATTATGTGAGATATAAGCAGAAAAGAATAAATTTAAGGTGGGAATATAAGAAAATACATTTAGGTAGAGTGAAAAGGGCATTAGACTGAAACTCAGGAGGCACTGTCTCTGGTGTAATGACTTTTTACTTAGGTTAAGAGCGCTTCTCAACTCTGGACCTCCCAACTTATAAAGCAAGAGCCTTGAACTGGAGCTAAGAATATATCAAACTTGGACTTTGTGCCTCCAGGTGATTGTTTCCTCATATTATCTCATCCAAATACCTTTTCCCCATTTATTAGATGTTTTAATTATTTCACTCTTTAGAGACAATCAGTCCATGAGGCTAATTAGTATACAGCTGGAATAACCTCTGATGCATGTAAGTATTTAAATATAGATTCAAAGACAAAGTTATGAATTTCAAAGTCCGTCAGTTGTTTTATTCCATTGACTACACTGCATTTCTCTAAATAAGAAATTACCTAATTTTATGATGGTTTCATCTTCCATATTCCTTTGAATGATAACTAATCAGATCACAAAGAAGCAGGTAGCAGGGTAATCCACATAAAAGCTTTCTAAATGCTCAAGCTAGTGAATAAAGTATTCTCTGATCTGAAATTCATTATTCCAACAAAAGATTTGAATCATTTGAAGTGTGGAAAGAGTCACTGGGATGAAAATACCTTGAACATTTTCTTAGAGGATTTCAAACTTTTTTTAAATTCTTAGTTTGCAGCTCAAACATTATGACAGAAAATTGAATCATCATAACAAAATATAAAGAATATAAAATATTAGATAATTCTAATTTTATTGGTGTTTGTTTGAAATCAAGTACATTTTCTCTTGTGCTTTCCAACAGAATTTTTATAGCCAGTACTACCTAAAAAAATGAAACATTTATTTATAACACAGAGTAAGGAGAAGACATAAAGAAAAATGCTGGTTGATCTACCAATAATCAGAGCATATTTAGATTAGTGAAGCAAAAATTGTTCAGAGTAAATAAGTATTTTATAAAGGTGAAATCCTGGTCAACTATCTTAATAAATCTATTCACTTTCTTTGAATTTAGATACAAAATATAAACTAGAAAGAAATATGTGTTCAACATATTATTAACACATTACTAATATTTTATATAATGCTATAATATTTCATGAGTACTTATTTTAGCTATATGGTTAGTGCTTAATTGTTCAACTTATTAACAAAAACAGCATAGATACAGAGGAGATATTCAAGAACTCACACTATAAATGCCCAATTGCAAATCCCTTTTGAGTTGACCTTACTTTTTGTTGCTGAGAAGATAGCTGAGGAGGAAATAAAATACCACTGAATACCAAAATTAAGTACTGAAATGGCTAGCCAATTTAAAAATATTTCTAATTAGCTGAAATTATATAATAAACACACATTGTGTTTTTACTTATGTTTGGTCATGTTCATAGTCAATTTGTTATTATTTGACATATTTTACTGTATTTTTTCCATTACCATTTAGCCCCCTTAAACCCTCCTCCGAATCACCACACTATTGTCCATGTCCATGAGTCCTTTCTCCTTTTTGCTCAATCCCTCCACACCCTAACCTCCCTCCCCTACTAGCTGTCATCTGTTCTCCATCTATGAGTCTGTTTCTGTTTTGTTTATTAGTTCAATTTGTTCATTAGATTCCACATATGAGTGAAATTGTATGGTATTTGCCTTTCTCTGACTGGCTTATTTCACTTAGTATAATGTTCTCCAGGTCCATCCACACTGTCGCAAAGGGCAAAAATTTCTTCTTTTTTTATGGCCAAGTAGTATTACGTTGTGTAAATGTCCTGTAGTTGTTTTATCCATTCATCTACTGATGGACACTTGGGCTGCTTCCATATCTTGGCAATTGTAAATAATGCTGCAATGAACATTGGATTATTTATGTTCTTTTGAATTAGTGTTTTGGGTTCCTTCAGATATATTCTCAGAAGTGTGATCACTGAGTCAAAAGGCAGATCCATGTTTAATTTTTTGAGGTATCTTCACACTGCTTCCCATGGTGACTGCACCAGTCTGCATTCCCACCAACAGTGCAAAATGTTCCCCTTTCTCCACATCCTCACCAGCACTCACTGTTTGTTGATTTATTGATGATAGCCATTCTGACAGGTATAGTTTTTATTTGCATTTCTCTGATGATTAGTGATGTTGAGCATCTTTTCATATGTCTGTTGGACATCTGTAGGTCTTTGGAGAACTGGCTATTCATGTCCTTTGCCCAATTTTTATTTGGGTTGTTTGTTTCTTTGGTGTTGAGTTTTGCACTTTCTTTATAAATTTTGAATCTATTGTTTACTTATTAAATGGTAGTATATTAGAAGCTTTTAGAGTGATTAAGGTATCATGATGTTATGAGTTTTATTTAGTACCTTATGGATTTTGCATAAATAAATTTCAAAATGTAGAATATAATGAAAGTCATATAAGGTAGCATATTTTGGAATATAGTAAAATAATATATTGAATTAATATTTCTGTGACACCAGCTAAATTCTTTAGTTAAAAAAATTAGAAAATGAAAGAAATTCTTTATAAATTATGTATTTTAAAAATAGAGAATTGTAGTTTACATAAAAATTTACATAGTCCAATTACCAATTGTCCTTAAATTTCTTCTACAACATTTTGCCTGTAGAGGTCACTTGACCTCTGCTTAACACAGGTCAAATGCAGCAGGAATCACTGCATTCCAAGGCAGTCTGATAATCAACATAATTAGAAAACTCTGTTCTTTTTAAATGGCAAAACATTGTGCAACTATTGTTTCTTATTTTGCCTCCAAAACCCATTAAAGATAAGATGAATTTATGTCAGCTCTACAAATATTTAAAGGCCACTATGATGCTTCTCCTAAGTCCATCCCTTTTGTCTTCAATCATTTTAATATGACACAATATCATTTTGCTTCTCCATTTGATCAGATCTCTGTTAGCTGTACTTCCATTTGGTTCTACTCAGAGTAGGGGACCAGAAGTCCACATAGTATTTCTATTGGAGTATCTCACCAGGTGCAGGAGTAGGAACATCATAACACTCAGGTGTATGACTAAGTCAGACTGTCATGGCTGCTGTGATTTCCAAATCTTTGCCCCAGTTCTCTAACTCTCCCTGAGAAGTTTTTATCAGCGATTCCATTGCGTATAATGCTCCTTCTGTGCAATCTAATTGGTTTCTTATTCAACATCTTTTACCGTCTCTTTATGTTTTATTAAACCAAGTACAAACTTACTCCGATGTTTGAGTCTTTCTGTATTATGACTTCAATATAATTTTCTAGTCATAGTTCTAATAATTCATCTATTTACATGAAGTGCTTCTACAAAATTAGATTATTTTAATTTCTGAAGACCCACAAATTTTATAACTTTTTCTGTTTTCTTGTCCTTCCACTTTCTCTTCCAATTGTACTTCTCAAATCCTACTAATTTTTTAAAGTCGTTTAAATCATATTACCATCTCCTTCAGAAAGCCTCTCTTAGTCCTCTTAATTAGATGTGACCAGTTCCTTTGAATTCTCAGTTGCAAATGTACTTCTCTGATGGCACTTAAAAGTTGTGTATATTTATATCCAAATGTGACTTTTTAAACTTATTAAAACTTAAGGAAAAAGAAAGATACTTGGTAAATTTTTGAATTCTGTAGATGTACTAGGTGAATGTTGCTTCATGTTACACTACTTAGATACATGTTACACTGATTTGACTTGCTTTTTTATCTTTAAATTTACTGAAGTACTACACACAAAAATGATTGCCCTGACTGGTGTGGTTCAGTGGGTTGGGTGTCATCCCTCAAACAGAAAGGTCACTGGTTTGATTCCAGGTCAGGCACTGCCTGGGTGGTCTGCCAGGTCCCTTATTAGGGGTGTGCAAGAGATAACCAATAGATTTTTATCTTGTAAATCAATATTTCTCTCCCTCCCTTCCTTTCTCCCTGCCTCTCTCTCTAAAATAGTAAATAAATAAACAAATGAACAAACAAAATCTTTAAAAATAATAATTAGATATTTTTCATTGCCACATGAAAATTTCTCTCCTTATATGTCAATTCCTTTTAAAATCCTTCAACTTTCTTGAATATCTTGAGAGCTCTTGGAGATAACCTCAGAGTCAGTTTGAAATCCAGAAAATTGAATATATTTTGTTAAACACACGATGAGCCTTTTTCTTTAGCCGCTAAGTTTTTCTTACAACTTCCTTTTCTCTTTTCTGCTTATTTCTCTATAAAGCGATGCTAACCTCCCCCCATTTAGGATCCCAACTAAAGAGAAAAAGTGCTGGATATGTTCTGATGGTGCTGTAGAGACAGCAGTAACTGGAGAGAGTAGAACTTTCTGGAAGCTTGGAGACCACACTTAAGAAGAAAATAGATTGGTATCATTCACTTTGTAAGTTGTGATTTATATATATATAAAATTTATATATATATATATATAAGTTTTAGATTGGAGAATGATACAAATTTAGATTCTATCAATATTAGAAAGTAATATTATTTTCTAAAATTCAACATCTCAGCAAACATAAGCAAATAAAGGCAATTACTTTGAAAACACTAGAGTTATACTAATTTTATAAAAAGTTTATGTGCTAAATGAAATGTAGATATCTAAATAACCTAATATATTTTTGAAAGTAGAACAAAATAACTCTTTTCCCCCAGCACACTACTGAGAAGAGTACCACAATCAGTTTATGTCTGTTGAATACTTGTGACATGAAAAGAAAATCATTATAATACCAAAACTTACATCGCACATTTTATGTGCCAGGCATTTCTCTATTTTAAAAATATAATCTGTTTAATGTTCATAACATGCCTCCAGAGTCATGTACTGTTATCATCAACCTCACTGTCCAGATGAGGGAGCCGTGGTGCAGATAGAAAACAGATAACATGTTGAAATGGCAGAGCTGAGATTTAAACCTAGCTGACTTCAGGGTCCCTAGTTTAATGATCTTTACTACTACACTCTGTTAACCACCAAGCATTTGAAACAACTATGATTTCACTGAGAAAGGGCAACTAAGAAGCTCTTTCTTTGGTCTGTCTAGCCCTTGGTCTGTGTAGGGACCTCTACACTTCTAAAGTTTTCACATTACTAATCTCATTTTCCCTGAAAGTTCTGAACAAACGGGCCATTTCTGAATGCTGGAGATGCTGCCAGAATCTCCCCCATTTCACTTTGCTTCTAAGAGCTACGATGGACTGTGTAGAAATTTGGGAGCTGATGCTGCAGCAGGAGAGAGAGCTTTAGAAGAACTCAAAAAGTTAAAGGGCTTAGATGTTCTTCCCTAAAGCAATGTTAATTCAAAGTTTGTCTATTTCATTCAGACTTTCCTGTCATTTAAAGTGAAGGCAAAGAACAAAAACCCCTGCATGGAGAGGAACGCACAGCAGGAGAGATTTAATTCTCTTCCATTTCAGAGGTAGGATGTCATGACATAAAAAAAAAGGCAGGTTGGAAGACAAGTGCCCCTGGCAGGGAATGACTGGTAGATCATAAAATCTCTGGTATGAGAGATGGAGAAGACCTATTAAGCCCTATCAACCATTCTCATTATTCTGCTGCCTCTGGTGGGCTCTGAACTGCTCTGGCTGGTCTCACTTTAAATAACTCCTGCTACATGACTACCGGAGACTTCATTTCTGACCCAACTGTTTAAAACCTCTACCTGACATTCAACCTGCTTCCTTTGGTCAGTTTCATCTTATTTCTTTAGTTATTAAATCTGTTGGCAAGCTGAAACCATTTCTCTCTTTTAATGCACTTCTATTCTTCATATATCAGTGAAATTATTTCATCTTTTATTCTGATGACATAAAAGTAGAAAAATGATAATTTGAACATCAAAGATTTCAAGTACATAAAAGGTATCTGTCATTGTGAATAGCTATGAATGCTTTCTGCACTTTCCGCTAACTACTCTTGTTCAAGTGCACTAGACACTATATTTTATTACAGTAAAGAAAAAAAGTGGTCAAATTATTTGACTGTTTTAGGTCAATCTTCTCTAGACGGTCAGGGTGATTATCATTTTGGAGTCACCCTTCATTTTGTAGATTACAAATTTATCCATGGAGGATCAGGTCCTGAGAAATAACTTATTCAAAAAAGATGAATTAAGATTGTGAATGTCATAATTTTTAATACTAAATATATTTGGTTTAATGAGACTGGCCATCTATGCAGACTACATTTTTTTTGTTGTTGTCATAGGTCCACACTGGTAGCTCATTTAGCGGGATCCTATTAACTTTCAGACTTTATATAGAATCCGATATTCTTCTCACCATATCTGCTCCCACTAGTCTGACAACCCCGTGCTCTCAATAGCCTTCCCCTAGTCTCTATGACAATATTCTTGCCCTGCCACAAACTGTTCTACCAGTCAATGAATCTTATCACTCCTATGCTCATGAACCTTCCATCCCTCCTCATTTCACTGAGAAAAAAAGGCTGATGCCAGAGAAGACTCATAATTACCTGGACTGTACTGGCTCTATTTATGTTACTCTAGCCATGCTGGCTGGCCTCCTGGCTCTTCTTCAAACAGGTCAGGTGTGGTCCCTTTAGAACCTTTGCCCCACTTTGTTCTCTCTCTTTGCAATCATCTATCAATATATTTCAAATTCCTTACAGTTTTGATTCAAATGTCACACTTTCAATGAGCTCTAATCTGATCACTCTATTCTAATTTGCAGTAGCACTCCCACACCTGCCTCCCCTGTTGCCCTTACCATATTTTCTGGAGCACTTCTTTACCTTTAACATACCCCCCCAAATGTAATCACTGGTCATGCAAATGGCTTGTTTTGTGTTTTTCTTTGCTAGCTAGAATGTGTTTTATGATGGCACAAAATCTGATTTATTTTGTTCACTGATATATTTCAACTGCCTGAATAGGACCTGGTACTCAAAAAACTTCTTGAATAAGTGAGTGGAAGAAAAACTTGAATGGGGCTTCTAATGATGAGTATGGAAATAGATTAAAAGTAATCTATTAAGAAATTTTTTGATCAAGTTGAAGTATTGTGAGGTACCATATTGTATTATTCTAGGTATGCCATTGTTTAAAGAATATGGATTAGTCAGATATATTTCTATCTTGAAAAAAATTAACTCTTTAATGTTTTCCTACTAGATGCAATTAACATTTGACATTAAATCAGCCATTTACTTTTCAAGTTATAAAAAGGAACATAGTGATCTCTATACAATAGGTGGCTATTAATAATAAATTACAAAGCACACATGCCTAGATTTTTTTATGTTGTAAGCAATTTCATTCCACCAATAACTACCAATTCAGAAATAACTTATTGAGCCAAAGTTGTATGTTCATTCATATTCTTGAAAATTATTTTACATATGTATTAATTAGATTTAGGCACTGGAAATATATTAAGCATTCAGAGTTTTAAAAAGACAATATTCTTGTTCCTGAAATGAACACTATGATGAAAAGAAATGAGTACGAAAGCAAAATAATGCCGTGTAATAAGAAAAAATGAAAAAAAGATGCTTATATTACTTAATGGAAAGGAGGATTTTAACATGTAGGTTCTGGACAGACTTCTTAGAAGTGGTGATATATGTATGATCTCCATCCTCAATGCCTCGAATCATGTGTGGTTGCAGGAAGATTTTCATATGTGCTTTTTGAATTGAATATACTCTGGTCAGTAATGTACTAAGAAAATTATCTAAATGCACATATTTTTATTCTATCCTTTCTGTAATTGTCTTTACTTTGTAAGGTCTACATTACCTCTCAATATGTAACTTTTATTCACTGATTATACTTGGTGTTATGAATGCAAGCTTCCAAGGTTTTCATTGGTGGTCTTTCTACCATGACTTCCTTATCACATGGTAATTCCCCATGATTTCTGGTCTAATCAGTCAAATATGGTCTCCAGTGTTAATATTTCCACTGAAAATCAAAATCTTATATCCAATTCACATAAAAAATGTACTTACATACCACAACACTTCTTTTGGGACTGTTTTAGAATGACCCCTTCCCTAGTTTTTCTGCTATGGACTGAATGGTTGTGTTCCACCATATTTATGTGTTGAAACCCTAATCTCCAGTATGATGATATTGGGGATGGGCCTTTGAGAGCTAACTGGGTCTTGAGGTTGGAGCCCTCATGACGGGATTAGTGACCTTATTGGAAGAGACAATTGTTTGGGTCAATCAATCTGTGGCATTCCATTATGACAACATGAAAGGACTAAAATAGCTTCTCAGAAGTAAACCAGTCTTCACTTCAAGATGTCATGACTTTGTTTACTGAAAATTCTAAGGAATTCTGAAAAGCTATTAGAGCTAATAACAAGTTCAGCAAGTCTACAGGGTACACGGTAAACATAAAAAATGAATTATATTTCTATACACTAACAATGAATAATAAGAAAAATAAATTAAGGCAAAGTAGAGCAAAGTTCAGAGAAGTTAATTAGCTCACACAAGTCCACTTAACTAACAATAGGTGCCGAATAAATCTAGGGTGACAACCCAAGTTTCATTGCCTCTAACGGCCTCTATGTACTTCCCAACATCTTGTGCACATATGAGGTAAAGAACACGTATTTTGAAATACTCACTTTCACTTGCTTATATATTTGATAATTATTTTCATTTAAATGCATTTATTTGCCCATGATTAGAAAAGAAAATATGAAAAGACTGGTTTTGTGTTTTAAATGGATGAACTGGTTTGTGAATTAAATATGAATTATACCTGAAACATTGCCAAAAGTGTGGTCAAAATCTGGTCCAGTAAAAGGAGGAAAACTGTTTCCCTGAATCCTTTCCCAATCGTTATCATCATTTAGATCCTGGATCCAAAAGCAAAAGCCATCTTCAAAATCACAGTTAATTTTCTCATAATCTGTGAATTTAAAAAAAACAATTTAGATTTAGTCCACACGTCACTAGTTGTAGTAGATTTCACTGAAAATAATCTACCCCTATAGAGTTTATAATTTAATGGCACACACAAAATCTTTGTTTTTAATTTTTAACTCTGCTTCATTCCATTTAGTTAAAACAAGCAAGCAAACCAGATTTCTGTTGTCAACTGTGTTAGAATAATACCCCATTAAAACTTGAACAAAAACAAGCTCTTGGCCTTTCATTTTTACATCTTACCTCCATTGGCTTACCTACATAAATTTTGTCCTAGTCACAGAATTAGTTTATGCTAATTTTAAAAATTTACTTTGACTAAGGCCTTATTATATGAAATGTTAAAGGCATTTATCCAAGAAAAAGAAGAAGATCAAAACTATGAACAGTAAAATAAGAAGAAACTCATAATTATCAACAACTAAATCTAGAAAACAAAAACAAACTAAGCAAACAACCAGAACTGGAACAGAATCATAGATACGGAGAACATTTGGAGGGTTGTCAGTTGGGAGGGGAAAGGGGGAGAATGGGGTAAAATTATAGGGATTTAGAAGCATAACTGGGTAGGTACAAAATAGACAGGGGAAGGTTAAGAACAGTACAGGCAATGGAGAAACCAAGAACTTACATGCATGTCCCATGGACATGAAGTAAGGGGGAGGATCACTGGAGGGAAAGGAGGGTAGTAAGGAGGGCAGAAGGAGGCAAAGAAGGAAAATTTGAGGCAGCTATAATAGAATAATCAATAAAATATACTTAAAACTTTACTTTGGATTCTTGTGGTGTATAAAATTTAATTGTTATATTGATTTATGTTTTCTTCTCAAGTTGGTTATTTGATTCTTTTGAAAAACACAAATTATTTTCTAATCTCTAGTTTATTTCCAAGTAGTAAGAAAGGAGAAGTATATGTAAAAGATACTCATTAAAGAATTAAAGCAGATTACAAACTTGTTCTAAAAGTTTAGGTTATGCTACTTTTAAAATTTTGTTACTATATTAAAAATCTGAAGATTCAAAGGCTAAAGAATAAACAATACTTACTATTAAGTTCCCTGCTGTTAAATACAGTGTATGTTGCATGAAAACCAATAAAATCACTTTCATCTGATTCTATAAGAAACGTGACAGTAACTTGGTTGGAAAAAATTCTAATTGTGCCAGGATTGGTTTCCAAGAGAGAAGCTACAAAAGAAAATGAATATACATATCTATCTGTTCATCCATTTATTGGTCAATCCATCCATCCATCCATCAATCCATTCACCAATCCATCCATACATTCAGCTATTGTTCTATGTATTGATGTATCTATCTAAGACCACCAGGTAACTGAAAACATTAATCATATGCTTAATTTATTTTAATTGAAATGACTCTTCTAAGCACTAGAAAATCAAATTATTATATATATCTATGGCTTGAAAAAACTGTATTTTTATTTTTAATTATTAGCTACATACACCATGTACACATAGATATGTGCATTCTTTACTGGGAAAGTTTCTCTGAGAAAACATACAAGTTAAGCTGTTAGAAAACTAAAAGTTAGTTTGGCACTATCAGGTATTTATCATGCTATGCTAACAGGAACTGAACTTAGTCACAATAACAGAAACAAGAGTATTTCTTTGGCTCTCTATCCACATAAATATAGGATCTCAAGACAAGACTTTGTGACTTAAGGATTTTTCTACTTTGTATTGGTTTTTAATATTGATTATCTTATTTGTATTTCACATTGGTTTTATCATTTTTCTGTCTTGATTCCAGTGTACTTAAGGAATATTTTTTTCAGACTTTTGATTCTCAAGGGTTAAAATAGTGCTTAGGATATGAAAAGCACTCATGTAATGATTTGCAAAAATTATTGTTACTTTAAATTTGCTTTTATACAAATTTATGGTTTAGCACATATCTTCTCAAAAGGGATTTTATTGCCTCTCAGGGAGTAAAAATTGGTTCTAAGGGGGAAAAACTTAATTTTTAAACATATGAAGCCAAAACATACATATAGTATGTAACATATATACAGAATATCTAAAATATTAAAATTTAATGGGAAAACAATTAGGTAAAAAGGGTCTAAAGACACTCCTTAACAGGAGTGATACTCATAAAAGGGGTAAGACACATTGGTTTAGCATTTTAGCTTGATAATCTGAACTGGGCATCAGATTTAAGTTTCGGAAAAGTACCACACATGTAGGTTGGAGACAAAGCCCCACGGTTATTTATTGAGTTCTAAAGAAAGATCTTCTTATGAACTATTGAAAATTCTGTGCTTATCACATAGAAGTTAACAAGAAAAAGTGATACATGAATGATTATTTCAACAAAATCTAAAAGAAAGAATATTATAAACAAGTGTCGATTCACATCTTACTCTTTTCCTCAAAAAGCATTGAATATCATTCTTCCAGTATTTTCTCACAAAGAACCACACTGGTTACTCAGACTCCTCCCCCCAGCATATATAACTGTATAACCCAGATAATCCTCATGTTGAAAATGTGCATATATGTGTCTAGTTGTTTAAAGGAATGTGAATCTTTGAGAAACTTTGCTTCAAAACCATCTACCTCTCTCTTGCTTCCTTTCCCATAGCCATGTAATTGTTTCTGACAATGGCTACTGGTTGGATCAGAATGTATCACTGATTCAGCTGCACCTTTAATGGTTGTACTTTGCGGGAACTCGTGTTTTCTAACGGTATTGCACTAGTTCAGATAGTCCAGGGGTTTATGTCTTAGGCCTGTTGCCATGTTTCAGAGATACCCACGAACTCCTGGAAATGTGTAGAATGTTTGTGCCTGTAGAGACTTTGTAAACGTTCACCAGATTGTTCAAATCTCTGACTGGAAGGAGTCTCAGAACTGCGGATCCAGTGGAAGGCATGCATCTGGTGCATCCAGGAAGATGGCAGAGGGTGGTGGCTAGGAGGGGGCGCTCCAGAGTCAGCCTGCCATTTAGTTCTGACTCCATATCTCACTAGACTTCTCTGTGTGTCTGTTTCTTGTATTATAATATAATAACATTGCCCTTAAAGATTTGTGATAAAAAGTAAATAAGTAACTTCTATATGTTACAGTAACTGGCACATAGTAAATGCTTAATGAATGCTGCCATTTCTCCTTCTCCCCAACTGGGCTGTAAACCTTGAAAATGCAGAAATTATACCTAATGTTTTTTATGCCTTTGCTGTTCTCCAAGAGTGCAAGAAACTTTTAAGCAATATTTGGGATCCAGAATTAATATACGAATAACTAGAGGAATAGAAGAGTCAGGGTAGGAGTTGAAAGAAAAACATTCCTAATAATTTTTGAAGGCCCATATTCTCTATAACAGATACAACACAGTTTTAGAAAATAATTCTTAAAAAAAAATCCATTGACTTCTACTAAAAATACCCCAAGACTTCTATGGGTATTAATTTACATACATTTGCCAAGCAGTCACATGTAAATGTGAATTAACTCATCCGTTTTCTAACAGCAAAGGCTCTGGCCAGGGGGTTTTGTGAAAGGGGAACACATGGAAGCAGGATCAGGATGCAAGGAAATTGTATAAAAGGCCGTGGACAGGGAAGACATACTCTCTACAGATGATTCCAAAGATCTACCTCAAAACTGTGTATTCTTTCCAATTTATAGAAGAAAATGTTATGTCATTATGATCTCCATGTGTTATAAATATTTCATTTAGTGCTCATTATTAATATGGTTTGGTGCTGAGTGCTGGTGGCATGAAGAAAGAACCAGGCTCCTGACTGGAAACGTCCAGACTGGTGAATTACAGAAAAAGAACTTGGGAACTAACCTACATGGGAGAAATGCCATGGGGGCAATGAGGAGCTCCGAGAGGAAGTAACCTGTGGTTTATCCGGGCACTATGACTGGGGAGTCTTCAAGAGTCTCCGGGAAGGTCAATGTTTTAAGCCAGTTCTTATTTAACTTTTCCATATAGATAATCCTATCAACAGAAGTGAGTGATGGGTACTTCCAAGTGAACACAAAAATGTTCCAACAAAAGCACAAAGCTTATCAAAATGCTTGACTTTGAAAAATATTTGTGTATATTACTTAATTTCATAGCCACAATATGATTATTTTCGTTGAAGGGTAAGTTGACAATTAGAAAAGTCCCCTATGTTTATTATACATTTAGCTATATGTATATACACTTATGTGTGCTTCACTATTAAAAGCATGACCTTGAATTGTTAAGCAACAATATTAGGGATATATTGTCAGTAGTCATTTGGGAATGGAACAACAGCTAAGCACTTGGGATATAAAGAAGAGTGTAATTATGACATATTCAGAAACACATTTTCTTGGCTTGGCAATTTGAAATCAATTTTAGTGTCTCACCCAAGCTATTTTAATTCTCTTTCTTTGAGGATGCACAAAAATATCTATGTATTTTTCTGAGCAAAAAATTAAGCACACTTATACTCTCCTACCATTTCCATTCCCAGTACTGGTAATTATTACCATCATTGAATCGAACATTGCACTTTCCTTACTGCAGGTTAAAAAAAAAAAAAAAACACCTGTCAACCTATTCTGATTTACTTCAGTTCCCACAATTATTTGGAAAAGACCCCGTTGCACTCTAAACATCTTCTTTTATGTAATCCCCGTTGCTCTCTGATACTTTTTATGAGTTAGAGAACTTCTACCTCATGATTATACACTAAAATGACTGAGTAATGCCTTTAATAGTGTTCAGTAATGTTTATACTGACTTACCCCTAATCAAATATGTAAGAACTATTTTATGGTACTGGATATTTATATTTTATTGTAATTCTTCTAGATAATGTTACTTTTTCCTTTTAATTAAAATATTTATGTATTTTCAATGTGATGACAATAACTGTATTTGAGATATACATTCTGAGCTGAATTTAATAAAAGTAAATCTTGTATGCATCTCTCACACAAAGAAACTTGCTAAAATATTTAGAAAAAATATAGGATTGTAAATCAAGAATGTAGGTTTTGAAATTATTCTAAAAATACCTTTAGAGTCATAAAAATTTTTGATATACATTAAGTATATACTATAATATCATGATATATAAACCTGTTAGTTTAAACTTAAATCAACAAAGTTTTTATAATGTATCAGGCATTGTGCTAGATGCTGGGATATTATTGCTTTTCTTGAGCAAAGGTATAATTTTATTGAATGTCAGTTCTAAAATTTTCCAAGTTAAAATTAAATCATTTAGCTTTCAGAAATTTTAAATAGATTTATACTTCAAAGGACCTTAAAATTAGACTACCTATTTGTTATAATTAAAAAACAGTTTCACATATTTTTAAATGTGGGCATTTAGTTTCTTTATTGCATTTTTTGTATTTATTTGTGCAGTATTCACACTGTTATCCTTAATGGTTCTAAGATTTATTTATGATTTACTGATAATATAACTATATAAAGTAATTAAAAATAGCATTGAGGCAAATCCAAGTATTTGAAGACTAAAGGAACATGAGTTCCTTACACTTTTTGCCTTTGGGCAGTTAATCTCAGGGAATTTAGTTCTTCTTATGTGTAGAGATTACAATGGCACCTACATATATGGCTTTAGAAAACATTTATTGAGTTAAAGTGCTGAGAACAGTATTTTTTATGATGTCAGTGACTAATGTATGCTAAAATTTATTATTATCACATTCGTCCTTGGAGAAATTTATGTGAACTGGCTTGTTTGTCCATCTATATAAATTTTATGTTGACATAAATGTAAGGAATTGGATTTATCAACTACAGAAATAAGTAGATTATGAAAGGGCTTGGCTCAGTTATTAACCAAATGTGACTTACCACGAGTTCATCTGTTTTGTGTGCACTCATTATTGTATTTGGACTCAGGGCTTTTAAAGCACAATGAAGAAATGCATTGTGTTTGACATCAGAGATTTTGGGTCTGATTCCTGCCTCCAACATTAACTAGGTCTGTGGACTTGAGGTCAGTTAACTTCTTGCACCTCAGTTTCCTCTCTTGTGAGGTATACTTTGCACATTTATTGAAATATTAAATAAGAATATCCATCAACAGTATTCAGTATCTGACTGTCACACAGCAATGCCCAATAAATTGTACATTTATAGCAAATACTTAAATATTGCTTAAGTCAGTAAGTCAATCAAACACAGTCATTAAATAGAATCCAACTTTCATTTCTCATAAGCACAATTTGAAGGCTAAAATGTTAAAATAAATGCAGTTGTAACATAAACTTTAATAACAGGTGCCATTTGCAACCTCGTCTTAGTTCTATATTTGACTATTCCTCCAAAGTGTGAGGAAAACTAGTCATTCCCTTGACTCCACTTCCATATTCTCTTCCTCAAACTTATTTTGCTTTCTCATGGAACTTCACTGCTCTACTTGTTGGCTACCATTTTGGGTCAGATGGAATAAACTGGGGTGGGTACACATAAATTAGTGCATTCCCTGCCCTCCTCTCAGTTCCATCCAAGTTCATGTACATAATGACAAATGGTTATGTGATAACAACACCACCCACACCTACTGTTTACTGAGCCTACCTCCTTTCTAGTCATTGTCTCACCCACTTTATTAGCAGTAGCCCTGCAAGAGACTGAGCAACAGAGTCATACTGAAAAGAAGAAAAAGGGTTCTATGAGTTTATAACCAGTGCAATGTCAGAGAAAAATAGTATAGTAGTTTTTAGTACTTGTCTGAGTTTTGCTTAATGGGAAGAGTAACACTCAAACAAAGCGTAGTAACCAAAGATATGATTATAAATTTTTTTGAAAAGTTCCACATGATTTTAAATAATATCAATTAGAAGAGAACCATGTGAAATAGTAACTATTTTATTGCTAAGAAAATTTACTACATCAAGCACTAAATTATTTTTTATGAGGACTAGTTTTACTTATTCCTTTTAGAAACTTGAAGTTTGAGTTTATATTTAGTTCAAAATAAAGAGAAAACACATCAGTCTGCAAAACTGCTCACATATTTTCATTCTGATAATGAATTGTATAATTATTTTAACTTACCTCTTAAAATTTTGTTTGAACCTACACCTTCATAAATATTTAATGTATCTGTATAATATATGTTAAAGGAATCGAAGTTCAGTTTAATGGAAAGTCCTTGGTTTACACTAAAGTAAAAACAAAAAGAAAATAGGTTACTACACTTAACAATTGTCACAACTCTTAATACATTCTAGATCTCGAATGTAATTTTCTAATTGTACTTAACAAAACTCATAACATGAGATCAATACTCAACACATTTTTAAGTATTTGGTATGGTATTGATGACTATCACAAGGTTGGATGGCAGATTTCTTGACTTTTTTCAATTCACAAGACTGAAACTCTTCACCCATTGGACAGTGACTCCCCATTTCCGACCCCCCAGTCCCTGGAAATCACCATTCTCCTTTCTCCCTCTCTGAGTTTAAATACTTCAGATGTGTTACATCTGATTAAATCTCCTCGCTAGTAATCAGTCTGTTCACATTTTGTATTTCTTCACAATTCAGTATTGCTAAATTGTATGTTTTTAGGATTTTATTCATTTCTTCTAGGTTATCCAATTTGTTGGCATATAATTATTCATAGTAGTCTCTTCTGCTTGTTTTAGTTTCTGTAGCATCGCTAGTAATTTCTCTCTTTCATTTCTGATTGTTTGGCTATTTACCATTTTTTAAATTTTTAAGTTTTTACAGTTTATTTATTTTTTAAAAAGTTTTATTCATTTTTATGTTTAGAGGGAAGGGAAAGGAGAAATAGAGAAACATCAATGTGTGATTGCCTCTCACACACCCTCTACTGGGGACCTCACCCACAACCCCGGCATGTGCCCTGACTGGGAACCGAACCAGTGACCCTTTGTTGTGAAGGATGGTGCTCAATCCCCTGAGCTATACCAGCCAGGGCTATTTGTTCTTTTTTCTTAATCTAGCTAAATGTTTGTCAGTTTTGTTAACATTCAGAAAACAACTCTGTTTTCTTGTTTAAAATAGTTTTCTTATTCCTTTTAAAACTTATTTCTGCTTTAATACTAATCATATCTTCTTTCTTCTAACTTTGGGCTCAGTTTCATGTTTTTCTCATTTCTTGAAGGGTAAAGTTAGGCATTTATTGTTATAAACATTACATTTAGTACTGCTTTGTATTTACCCCATAATTTTCAGTATATTGTGCTTTATTTTTATTTGTCTAAGGATATTTTCTAATTTCCTTTTTAATTTGTTTCTAAGACTCATTGATTATTCATGAGCCGTTAGAGGCTTGCAGTTTTCTTCTGCAGGAGTTCCTAATTTCTTGCTCCCTCTGGTGACCATATGTGGCACTTCAAGTTCTCTGGTTCTGTGGTGGCAAGCCACCCCATTCTCGCTTGTACTCTGCAGCCACCAGCCATTCATCAGCCCGACTCTTGGGGAAAAAAATAACAGTACCCGGGAAAGCCCTCGGAACAGCTGCAATGTTGGAAGCAGGTTGCACCTCTCTCCGTCCATCCTGAGGGAGAAATTTTGAATTGTGCACCATCTCCCAATTATGTCAAGACATACTGACCACAGCGAGGAGCCCCTGTTCCTCTTTACTCTCAGCCCCCCTCAGGCATGGGAACTATGCTGGTTCCATCAGTGCTCCACGTGAGGCCAAGAAATGAGCCCCTTGGGCAGCCCATGGAAAGGCTACAATGTTGAACGCATGCTCCACTCCTCTTTCCTTCCAAGTGAGAGGTAGGGAGCCAAGACCAGATGCTCTCCTGGTGTGGATCTGTGCTGGCTTGCGGGAGGAGCTCGCAAAGTAAAATGAATCTGGTCATGTTGCCCATTTATTTCAGTGTTGTTGTTCTTGGCTTTCTGCTCACTGGGGGTACTGCAATCCCTTCCTTAGATTCTAAATTTCTCATGAATGTATTATCATTGGTAAATGGGTGTTTCTGTGGGGGAACAAATGCTAGGGATTCCTATTCTGCCATCTTATATTTCAATGTATTTCTAGAGATATTTGAAACTAATTTTCATATGACTTTAGGCTAAAACGTTATGCTTAAATTATATGGGGGAGGACCTCACAAAAAACAAGATTTATTTATAAAAATTGTTTATGTATTCTTACATGTTTAAACTTCAGTCATCTTCAAAGTAGAGTCATCCCTTGCTATATCACGGTTCACTTGCTGTGGCTTCCCTGTATCGCAGGTTTTAAAAAACCCGCTCTAGGGCACAGGAGCCTGTTGATGGGCCCGTGGAAGTCGGGTTTCGCTATTTTTGGTAAAAAAAATGCTGAACCTTCAGCGTGGTGTAGTCAGGTGTGCTAGTAATCACCCATCATGAAATGGGCAAACGTGTTCAAAGAGTCTTCAAAACAAACTCACTGAAGCCGAACACAGCCTCTCACACCACCAGCTCGTACACTGATACAGATGGGCCCACCCTTCAGAATATAATTCTGTTGTTTTAGGGCATCTTCCCTCATACTTTATTTGCAGCATAACAAAATTGAAAGAATATGTACATGATTTAAATATGCAAATTAATAAAGTCAATTTTTTAAAATTTGCATAACTTAATTAAAAATTTTTGAAGACCAAAATGTCACTTACAAAATGGCTCAGTATGGGATATATCATTATTTCCTCATTTGAAAAAGTTTTAAAACAAGTTACTTATAATTTACATTGTAGTCACTTACTATATTTCAGGATTTTTAAAACTCTTACTGAGTATTTACTTTTAAAACAAACAACAATGAATAAGGACTTTTTTAAAGTACATGGGTTTTGATTGGTTGGTACCCCCTTAGGTGGAAACCCCATGTTATCCATTTCCTTTGTAGTTGATAGTTATATACTTAATTGTCTTGCCTACCAGAAATTGTGACTTAAATATTTGATCAACTTATTCATTCATACTGTCTAGTACTTTGTAAGCTCTAGCACAACTTTTTGATAGAAGTAATAAATTAATCTAGGTAGCTGACACTGTAAGAGAATAGAATGAAAAGTGTGACAGGTTCACTAGAAAGTTTTAATTTGATATTTAAATATAGGATTTGGGTTTTAGATATTAAGTTTGGTGGAAAGGTCTTTAAGACAGCTTCTGTCACAACTCCACACATCCCTGAAGTAGCAGGAGAAGAATGTGAACAATCTGAGTGTTTTGGAGGTAGAGCAATACTCCCCTGAAGTCCTTGGAAGGGAAGTGGGCCGCAAGGTGAAGCAGAGCAGGGTGATCATGTCTGAACTGGCTGAGGACTGAAAGGGCTGCTAACAGGAAAAGACTGAGTTTTCAAAGCCACGTAGGAGACTGACAGGTGGCCTGGCCTCTGAGGCTGGCTGTGGAGGATGCCGGATGAACAAGGCCTCCTGCCCAAGCGTGTGGCAAGCTTGTTTTTTTTAGTAAATTATCAGTAATCCCTTGGCTCAATTAGGAAATTGTGTACATTCATCACAAATGTAGGTAATTTTGAAATTCTAAAGGTCATTGTTGGAAAATGTCCATTTGTAGCAAGACCTCAGTTTTGGCGAACACTGAATTAGAATCCCGATCAGGGGCTGGGATTTAGTCTTCAGGGAAGGAGATTGAGGATCTTGTAATGACAATGACTATCAGGGCAGGATCAAAAGACATCTGAACAGAAACACAGGTTTTTGAACCTGACCAGTATTTGCTACGAGAGAGGTAAGCTGAGAACTGTCATCAACATCTGGACCTCAATCCAGAGATCAGGTTCCGCAGTTGTGGAGTGGATTCTGGGACGTGTACGTTTAAGTAGTCCAGCAGAATCCTGAGGGGCTCTCAGGTTTCAGGGCCACTGGAGGAAGACAGGTAGATGTAAGAGATGCCACACTCACGGGTCACTCTCAGGTATATTAAGGAATCATAGGAGGCTGGCAGGGGTAAAAGGAGATCAGTGTCAGAGGCAGCAGATCTTCCCAGCCCAGACTGAGCAAAGGAGAGCAAGGCAGACGGTGGTGCTGCCATTTACGTAGATTCTACCTGTGTTAGGTCAGTGCAGGGGTAGGGGAGTGAGCCCGCTGGTGAGCACTTTAGGGAATCCAGCATCAACACTGAAGAAGACAGAAGAAGAAGAAATGAAGAAGGCTTCAGGGATGATTTCTGTTCTTTTAATTAAAGTTTTGGTGTTTCCAGAACTTTATATATACATAAATCTTCAAGTAATGTGGTTTCAAAATGTGAAGCTAAGGGATGCAAGAGCAGCTCCCTAGGAACCTTTGTGCTCAAGAGTCCTTTGCTCTTTCAAAATAGGTGATTGAAGGTAGAGAGAGAAATGAAAACATATTTTTTTTATTTTCTTCTGATTCAGAAAAGCACAACTCACTTGCAAGAACAACACAGGAATTAATAAAAGTAAGATTAATTAGAGAATATAAAATCTGATGTTTCTATAATATTAGACATTATAGTTCCTTTCTGTTTTTTTTGAAAGGAATGGGAACTTGTCTAAATTACTTTATGCATTTTGCATTCCTGTTTCAATAGCTAATCATTTTATAGGCCAGTTTTACTGAGCACTTCTTATTTGGCTAAGCACTTCATATTGATTATTCATAATAACGACTTTGGCTTCTGTAGTTAGAAATGCTGAATTCCATACATGTAGAAATTTTTGGTCAAAGAGAATTATTTAGTCATTTGCTTGAGATTTCATGTCTTTAATTTGAAAAAACCAAATTTGAACCCACACAGTCTGTCTCCAGGGCTCACATTCTCAATATTTGATACTCTGCTAAATGTGGTGTTAGCATAATTCCAGGGCTGGCCTGGCCTAGCTGAAAATATAGTTTATTTGCCTTTTAAACATTTATCCATCATTTAATTGGTCATCTTCTAAGCCTGTAGGAAAAGTTATTGCCCTTACTCCAACTTTGATCACCATTAGGAAAAAAAAAACTGTCTGGTACTATGCTTCACTAATATAACAATCCATTTTGGAAAGAAAAAAATAAGCATATGATTTATATAATTAATTAAATAATAATTTAATCATGAAGTGCAGTATTTGTTTAGGTTAATATTTTATATTCTTTGGGTTTTAAAATTATCTACTCACTAATGGTGGATTTTTTTAAAATAGTTTTTTTAAAAATTAAGTAATGAAAAGGAAGTAAAAAGAACAGAACCATACAAATCTTTAATTAGCATAGTAGCATTATAGCAAATGATATTACTGTTATAACAAAAGTACTGTTTTCTGCTTATAAGCCCTGTAAATTTGAACTAGATTTATTAACTGGATATAACAATTAAATTATTTTTATTTGGCATTAATAAAAGTTGAAAGGTTGCATGAATACATCATTTAGGATTCATGTTTTTCCCATTTTCAGAAGTAATTTAAGATTTTTCTAAGGTTTTCTGCGGACATTTAGAGTAAGAAATAGATATTTTTCATTTTACTTATGAACAATGCTAATAATAATTTCTAAATGGTTCTTTTTAAATTTGATAAGAGTGTAATATTGGAATCAATGTCCCTTGAACTGGTTAATTTTTCACTTGGCAAGAATTACTTAGAATTGCCCCTTTATTTTTTTTGATATGTGGAACAAGATTGTATTTAGGAATGAAAAAGTCATAATTTCATAAAATAAGTTTTCAGGTTTGAATTAGTGAGTTGAGTGCTAAAAGGTGCGCAGCAACACACAAGTCACTCCCGCCATGCTGGGCCTCGCCGTAGACTCACGGCGCAGAGACGGCTGCAGGTTTACTGCTTACCAAAGACCCCTGGTGCGCTGTTTTAAATACAAAATCGTATCTTTGGTGCACAAGCAGCATGTTGTGTAGAACATGAAAACAGAGGAAATTATGCTCCTACTTGTATTACAGGGCTTTCATGGAGCTTAGCTCCAAAATAGAAATTATGTAACGAAACAGGATGTTGCTCTTATTTTGATTATTGCCAAATAAATGTGTTTAAAACAATCTTTCCTTCATGCTCCATCTCATCTCTGGGATATGTCTACATAGGAAAACAACCTTGTGAATCTTATGGGGCCATTTCCTACCATTTGTTTGACAAGAACCGGAAGCTCTGCCGTTTAATCTTCCTTCACCAGCTGTTAGACTGATTCTCCCAATTTTCAAGTGAATCATCACAATGATCAAAACTATTTTACAGGAGGTCAGATTGGGAAACCATAATCTCGTCCAGCTGTTGAAAAGAACTAACCGGAATGCCATTTTTCGAAGTAAATTCCATAGAACACATGCACTGAATGCTCTGTGGGGAAAAATGTTCAGGGACTTCATAGGAAACATATATTGGTGGATATTTACATCACATAATAACTTATTTAAAGTGATGAGAAGTTATGTACACTTTTTAAAAATTGTGATGTGTTTATTTCAGTATTTCTCATATTTGAGTAAAAATTATTTCCCCTTAGAATATCTGGAGGAAAACCTGGTAACATTCTTCTGTGAAAAATGCTTTGGTGAACATTAAGGTAGATCAGCCATCAGCAGTCTGATTACTTTGATCACCATAATGATTAGATTGGTCAGCTGAATTAAGAACTTGGAGGTTAAATATATAGCAGCTGATCTAAGTGTAATTCAAGATACAGTGAAAAGGATGTGTATAGAGGGTGGTCCCAGCTCTTATTCTGCCATAACTAAGTCACACCACAGGAGATTTTCAGAGAGATGCTGACATAATGAGAAAGGAACTATTCTGGCATCAGGATGTGTGTGATGTGACATATCATTTCTTGCGACACACAGAAATACACATATGCTGTTTAATTTGGCAGCACCTGATTTGTGCCAACCACAGGAAAAAAGAAAACTTGCTATAGAGTTGAATGAGATGGTTTTAAGTTTTAGAAAGTATCGTTCATAGGACAGAAGACCTTTTTAAAAGGTTAAGAGCAAGAGAGAAACTTCTTGGACAGGTTATCAGTTGGGAAGGCTTTGCTTCATAGCTAATGAAAATGTCAATTGTCAAAAAAATGGATACATCACTAGGGGTGAAAAGACTAATTACATCCGAGAATGACTTTATGACTTAATAACAAGGATTAGAAGATGGCATATTACCGTATAATCCACTGGCAAACAACACTTGATTTAGAAAGCTTTGGATAAGAGGTAGCCTCGAAGGACCCCACAGATCCAGTCAACAAAAATCTTCCATCACAAGCTGTGGCTGTAAAAAATGGCAATTAATGGTAGGCAAAAACAATCTTGGAGGCATTTCTCAAATGAAATGGGATTTAATTTGGTTAATGAACACTTTACAGAACACTCACCACTGAACATGAACTAGGCTATTTTACAAAACTGAAATGATCTGACGGAAGTAGATCTCATGCTTAAAATCATTGGTTATCATCAAGCACTTTTACATACCCCATTATAGAGTCCTTTAGACAAACATTTTATTTCTAAGTACTAATGCCTTAGTATAGTCTTTCGTATTTGGAAGGAAGTAAATATACCTGAATTGTGAACTTCCAATTTAGAAAAATGCCTACTAATATCTTGTCATATTTTCCCCATTAAATTGGAGCTAAAATGAATCTCAAATATATGCAGTAAGCTCTGTGTCCTCCTGAAATAATCAGAATATGGCAGTCATGTGGTCTGTATAACAAAGTGGCCTAGACAGAATTCAATCTATTTTACTTCATTGTTCTTGCCCCTTTTGTATGGACTTGCTATGTAGCTCAATATTTTCATTCAATATTCCTGAATGTCTTGTTTCCATGATTCCTCATTTTCCTCTTTTACAATAATTCTTGTAACACATTTCATGTACATTTCACTACTTCTTTGCAGTGTCCTGTATTACTAGACATCTTTAATTTATATCTGGATCATTTCAACTTGACTAAAATCATCTTGAAAGCTTGCACCAGGACCCACATCCTATAGCATTTTATTTTGTACTTGCTATGTATAGCATGTGCCAAAAAATTTGATTTTTACAATCTTTAGTTTTTCTTAGATTATTTTCTATATACTTAGTTACATAGTTCTGTTGATATAATAGTATAAAATAATGATTCCTAGCTGTGTTCTTTTTCTCCTGGCATGTTCTTAATTCTTGATACACCAGAGGCATTGATGGAGGGTAGGGAAATCAAAGAAATTTATCAAAATTAAATTTCTGCTCCTGGAAGCTGAGCACTTGAATAAGTTAATTCTAAATTGAGGATGGAAAATCCCATTGTGATATTATACAGCAACTCTGTTAGGTTATAAAGTACAAGCTATTATATGGCATCAAATATTTTATATGGGTGAAAAAAGAAATAATAGAACAGCACACAAAAACCTTGGTAAAAATCTAATAATTTTAGTTAGCTTTTAACAATTTTTGGTATAATTTTTATAAAGGATAAAAATGACTTTGGTAAACAAAGTTTTGGATTCAAAGACTTTTTAACAACAATGACCTAGGAATGGGTTGCACTGGCTTATGACTTGATGGCCTGGTTCCCTATGGAAGACAACAACAAAAAAGAAAAACTGAGAACAGAAAAGATAATAACCCAAGATGCAAGGATTAAACCCTGAACAATATGTTACAAACCTCAGGAAAGAGATAAAATTGTGACTCGTTGAGAGCAATAATCTCCTTTTGTATAATCTTGGAACAAACAAAAGTGGCTAAGTCGAATTTATATGATTTCAAGATAAAAAGTAGAATGTGTGACCTTCTAATGCAGAGCTTAATACTTTTCTAGACGCAAAAGAAAATCTCTTTCACTTTCCACTCTGCCCACCGCAAATCATGCCAGATAATTCGGACAATTAATCACTTATCTTCCATGATCATAAAAGTAAGAATACTTTATGTGATATTTTATTTCCCTCTGTCTATCAGTAGGTTGCAGAGGACATAGAGGAGGACCTGGGCCAGAGGGGATGGTGAAGGAGCTGGCATCCTCGAGGCTTACATAAAACCTCAGCCCTCTGCCCCCTTTCCTGGACTGTATGTAAATTATAAATAAACTGCTATTGTCTGAGATTGCTAAGATGGTTTATCACTGTATTTAGCCTGTCCTAAAGAATATGATTTATTTGACTGTTCACTGTTGTAAAAAATTGCTGAGTTTTAGTGGGAAGGGAGAACCTACGGGTCAAGTTCTGCTCTAAAGGGCCTTTAGTAAATGCCTGCATGCAAGTAAAGATGAAGAATATTCCTGAAGGCATTTAAAATAAAATGGCAATAAAATTTAAGTACTTATAATAGCAAAGTTCATAATATCACAGTATTATTATTTCAAGACAGAGGTTTGTGTTAGAGACTTTATATACTTTCTCAGTTAATTTCAGGATATTTCTGGAGAATGGAATTTTACATAAGGCAATGAAGCAGGATAACCTTTTGGAGAAACAGACATAAACCAGCTGTGGCTGAGTAGGGTTACTAGGTGTTCAGGGTTATAGCTTTTTAGACCACCAAGTGCTTTCCAATGCGGTATTAGAAAGAAAATTCGGAATGGGAGATAAATGAACCTCTCAAAAAATATCAGCCATTCTACTACACTACCTGAAATGCTGTCTGTAATGGGATGGGGTTTATACAGGGATGCTCTTAGGACTCCCTGATATCTCCCTCTGCTGGCTGAATATTCACTAATTGTGTGTTTGCACAGGGCATTGGATTCTCCAGGATGCTCAAACCAAACTTGGGTGGATGTGATCTATGTCCATGCATGTAATTCTATTGTGCACAACATAGCAGTATACAAACAATCTATGGAGACTTTTGCCAACTTCCAAATAGACCAGAACATTGGCCTAAAAGCTGTGAGTCAGCATCTTTCCTTCTCACAGGTCAGCTAGAAAGTGAACGTTCCTGCTGATGCAATCCTAATCGGAAGAGAAAAACAATTTAAAGAATTCTTGGTTCAGCCACAGTCAGCTATAAGTAGTGCAAACCTAAATAACTAAAGACTGAAAGAGGAAGCTGTGTGAGGAAGTCAACATTAACGTGACTATTAATAACATAGACTAGAATTAGAGAGAGAAACAACATAGAGAGAGCATTGCTCAATTTTGCATGGAAGGAATTCTCTTGGATTGATTTTTCTGTGAATGTAGATTGATGGACAAGGGCATTCATGTAGAAGAGCTCCTCGAATTGGGGCTGAAGTCATTGGCTTTGGACTCATCATTCAATGATTAAATGATAAATGAAACAACTTATATGCCTGAATTCTAGCTGGATTAATGTAGAGTAATTGATTGATGTGTGCACTTTCTTATTCAAATGTTTGTTCTATTTATTTTTCAAAATACATACACTGCTACTTTAAATATATAAATAATAAAGAGAATTGAGAAAAATATGAAATGGAAATCCAGGGGATTAATAAAGTTAGTGACATGGATGGCAAGTTGACATTAAAGTTCAATCAACACAAAATCTCCAATATATGAAAAAGTAGCAATGCACTTCAATTGTCCTTAACACAAACTTAGAGAATTAATTCAGTTTTAATACTGAGGCTCATGTCATGAATTTACAGTGGCTCTGAAAAATAATCCATGGCTTTCTAATTTACTTTATGACAAGTTGTCACGCAAGATCCATCTATGGTAATTTTTAGATGTGCACCAATATTAATTTATCATAAAAATTATTAACTCCATGCCAGTGAAGACCAAATTATAGGTGTAGTTCATTCTTTGATTATTCAATTTATTTTTATATCCCCCACTTAAAATTATTGATCATCATTATACAGACTTAAAGCTATGTGTCTCTCTGACATACATTATTATTTTTGAAATATAAATCAACATCACCAAAATCATGTATCACCTCATGATGGCACACTTGTATCACATTCTCCCTGAAAAGGTTTTGGAAACTTCTTGAAAACCATAGCAAAAAGCATGTTTCTTTCTTCTTCTTTGAATAACTTAGTTACATAAAATAGATTTTAAAATATTCTGTAGCCTGCACTTTCTTCCAATATGCTCTGAGTGCACTTCAAAGTATGTAGTTAAACTTTGAAGGTTTGAATTTTATCCAAGAACATTTGTATTAGGATTTCTTAGAAGAAGCCTCTTTAGTTGTTGCCTCTTTTTTTTTTTTTTTGGAGTTGGTGTTGGGGAACACACCAACTCCCTGTCTTTTAAAGTATGCATTAAGCGGATAGGTAATTTTAAAAACTTTGGTTGTCATTGGAACATTCATCTTCAATTAATATCAAGCCAGAAGAGCAAAGTGAAACAAATACTGGAAAAGCAAATTATAGCAAATAGTAACTATGGCCTTTGGACGTGCAGGAACTGATTGTGCTCAGGGTCACTGATAACACGGTTCATGAATCATACCAAAACACTACTCAATTCATGCTGGCAATTTAATTTTTCAAGAACCAATTCTAAGTTGGAATTGTTCAGATAGGTCTTTACATTGCTTATCAATCTATTTCTCTGTACGTTTCAAATACTTATGCCATAATCATTCATATATATGCTACTCAGCTATAAAATGAGGAAATAAGTCAGAGTAAATATGTTTAAATCACTTAGAGCCATGTTTGGCATTTAGCAAATACTACTTAAGTGCTAATTAATAATAATAATAATAATAATGCATTAACAAATGTCAAAATTTATGAATAAAACACAGATGTTTTATTTATGAGACTTTAAGATCTTATTCTAAATTGGCTTCCATTATTTACAGAACTACAACTCAAGTACACTTTTTGTCTACTTGTTTCCATGCCAAAAAGCAAATAAAAGCAACAATCAAAATTAAAGTATGGCAATTACTGTGTTGGGGTGGTTAAAATGGAAAACAAAGATTGATATTATGATAGTGAAAAAACATGGAAAAAATCATTCAAATTCATAGTAACTATTTGGGAATAGTTTAATAACTGATCAAAAAAGATGCCATTCTCCTCCTCCATTTAGGATGGGCACCGTCAACAACATCATCCTTTCTGTTATCAACACATGAAATTCTTTTTAATTAATTAATTTCAATTTTGTATAATAAAGTTTAGAAAAATATCAATATAGTTTTTTAAAGATTTTATATTATGTTATAATCACAGCTTATTGTGATATCTTATTCTCCATCAGTTTCTGGTATCTGAGGTGTGTGTATGTTTGTGCACACAGTCAGGATGGACATATACAAACATGGTCTACGTATACATACTCAAGGCCCACATACATACTTGGTCTAGGCCATGTATACTGTGGATAAGACAAGAGATTTTATGGAAAGTAACCTCTCAGGGTGATCTGATCATAAATTCATAACTGCGCAGGTCATGATGGGTAGTCACTCCCCAGGCATATAACTTCTTTAGGAAAAGGCTAATTTTTGCCTTGAGCAAGCCCCTCCATTGTTTCTGGGCATCTAGGTTAACATACCTTTGAACTGCCCCTTTCAGATTCCTCGTTCTAATATGTGGCCAACCTCTCAATCCCTCCTTCTACACAATTGTACTGTTCTGTAATCGCATGCCCGCCTCCACACAGCAATCCTGATGTTCCCTCCTTAATTTCAAACGCATAAAAGACACTGCAAACCGTTATTCTCCAGAGCATTTGGGATCTTGCTCCCAGGCATATGTTCTCAGTTTGGCTAAAGTAAACTCTTATAAAAGTTCTCCCCAGGTTTGGACATTTCTGACATTGACAGTATATATACATGGTCTATGTAAAGTAAGGGGGGAGGGAGAGAGCAGGGAGGGAACATTACTTACCGCAAGTTTTGTTGTCTTCATCAGAACCATCTGGGCAGTTTAATTCTCCATCACAGAATAAATCAGTTGAGATACATTTCATAGCATCAGCACAAGGCCTTGAACCAGGCTGACACTCCACTGAGACATTTCCTTTAGAAGAAAAGATTGAATTTTTACTGCATACCAGATTTAATTTCTTACCATATGTATAATGTTTAGATATTTATGTATTTTTGTCATTTAGGTTTTTACTTATAGACATATATTTTAATTTCTACTATCAATATTTGTTTCATTCAATAGACTCACCATCTGTAAAAATTCAGAATTTTATATCTTGAAAAAAGTTTATTCATAGATGTTAAATATAAACATTTACTTGTTTGATTTTAATCTTGATAAATCAATTCTGCAGTTTTAACATCTGGCTCCTAATGTTTACCCCTCCTAGGATTGTTATATATGTCATATGGGACAATTTATTGGAGTATTTTTCACATCCTCTGCATTACTATAATCATTTTGTTTACTTATAAACATATATGAAAATTTTGTGGCTGAAGTCAGGGTTTGTATTCTGAAGAGAAAATTTGTCAATGAAAGCCATTTTGTGGTAAAGTAAAACACTTAAAATTCCCAGCACGTTGCTACATTGAGTAGTGACAAAACCCAATGAACATTCCCTTAATATTTGTTTGTTGCTTGGGGCAGAGGCTCTGAAGTGTTCTATGCTACAATCTGGTGCAGGGGGTCTGATCGATGTGCTCCTCTCAGCCACTCCTGTCCTGCCCCTGCTCCTCTTCCACATACCCACATATAGAGGTGCAGCAAGAGACGCATTTTACTTCAAGAAACTAAGTTGGAAAACTTAGATGCAGTTCTAAAAATGACATCGTCATATCCTCACCAGATAAAGACATATGTTTTTATGTTTCAGAGCAATGTGAGAATTTGAATGGTTTTTGTCTTGATCAGAATGACAAGGATGGTTTTAAGTTTTTGAAAAATCCTTAAGCTCAATAGCATTTTTTTTTGTTATTGTTCATCTTAAAGCCAGCACTGCAGTGCCATCTGCTGGGTTTTAAAAATACATTTTATTTTGAAATTTCTTCTAATGCCCCATGAAATTAACTGAGAAAATAAAAGTGCTTATGTCAATGAATCTACTAAGGTAATACTGAATTTGGAACATTTATGGATAGGGTTGCTGAGTATATATACAACTAAATTGGACTTTTGCAATAAGCTCCAGTTAGAAAGGATATACATATTGAGAAGTTCATGGATCACCTAACATCTAAAAATTGAATAGGATAAAGATCAGAGCTCTTCCCAAATGACAGAATACCCCCATTTAAGACAACAAAAAAAGAATGATAAAAGTGATATTGAGTAAACCCAAATGCATACTATAACCATTGATATCTGTGAGAGAATCACCGAAAGAGTCCCTCGTCACTGAGTCTGTGAAAGGCAGTGTCAATAGTACTCCATAAATGCTTGCTAAGTAAATAAACAACAGAAAAGCTTTACTCTGGATACTCTATGTCTCATTTTAACAGTAGTTAGTAGAATTCTAAGTATTCAGCATTTAAAAGAACAGGTTTTGGGGTACAGCTAGGAAGATATAAACTTTGTCTGCTCTGATGCTTCTCATGGGAACCTCACTTCCTGATGCTGTGTATCTCTGTTCATTGCCTATTACATTCTCTAGACCCAGCCTCAAAACCACAGGGCAAGGAACACCACTTGGGATCCTTTGATGTCATTAACGATCATTCACTCACTCCACAAGAATTTATTGCATGTTTATTTGTGTCACAAATTTTTAAGGGGATGGAGTCAAAAGGAAGAGTAAGACAGAGACTCTAGGCTCATGGGACTTGGAGTTCAGTGACAGGCTGAGTCATTAACTAATTAGTTTTTAAAGAGATATTTTAAAAAGTGCAGTGAGAATAAGGACTAGGCAATTTGTTTCTTTTTGAGGCAGAGATTGTAAAGATCTCTACAAAAACTGGGTTTTGAAGGATTTCTCAAAACATACCAGGAAGAGAGGTGTATAGAATGCATACATGGTGTGACAAGAACACATAAATGTGTGGTACACAGATGAATCTAACTTTTCTGGATGGTAGGATGTTTGTGAAAGTCGTGCAAGGCAGGGAATGTGGTGCCAAATCCTACAGAACTTACTTTGTTTTGTAAAATGTTAGAAAAAAAATTGCTATAGGCAATGGCATTGAAAATTTTTAGGTATATGTGTGATATGACCAGTCCATGTCTCATTAACACAATTCTGGAACCAAATGGAGAATGACATAGAGAGAGGAGACAAGAGAAGCCATTAGTTGGTAAAGGCGGAAGCTGATGAGGGTTGGAACTCTCACACTAGCAGAGGAAATGGGGCGTGGACTGTTACTATTTTACAGGTAAAATCAGTGGGCTTTCGTGGCCATATGTGCTCCTGAACAAAGGCAGGCAGAGAAGGAGTGCTAAGAATGATGCTCACACTTTCAGAGTTAAATTACTAATGGTCATTAGTCACAACAGTGAATAAAAGAGGAACAGATGGTGGAATTAGAAAATAACTCCAGTTTGAAGTATTTTGATTTGAAAGTGGAAATATTAGGAACTCTAGTTTATTTTGTGCTATATTTCTCAGAACTCAGCTTTATAAACACTTTTCAGCTACCTTGGTCAATGAAGAAAGGAAAGTTCTTCATACTGAAACCAATAAGGAAAATATAAATATAATTGTTATATAAGGGGAGTGCATTTTAGGGTACATTTTATAAGATTGTATTCTTTACCTCTTCTTACATTACACACATATGGCAATAAATTCCAACAAAACCATTGATTAAAAATTAATGGTTATAGAAATTAGCCAGATGCCAGTATTCTAAAAATGACCTTCCATTCTTAAAACTAGAGTTTTTCGACTTGTGGACTACTTTATTTGCCAGTTCATCCCTTAATTTTTGCTTTGTTTTTTCTTTTTTTTGTAAGTCTGCATTGTACTTCTCAATAGAGAATTTTAGGAAAGAAGTAAAATAATTGTATTTTAAGAAAACATTAATTGGTCTGTTTACTAGAAGTTGATCAAATTGCCTGAATATTAGTTACTGCCATTTTGAGTGAATAAAAGACATGCATATATTTTTATATCTATATGGTATTTATTTTGGGGGCATTCTTTTTCTGTGATATTATGAAAACCCACTAATAAATTGGTATTAGTAGAGTTTTGCAAATGAAAGGTTTTAATTATCCATTTATGTTTGTATCATGAAAGATTCAGTAACAACTCAATGTGATGACTGCGGCATGCTCCGAAGTCACAGCGATTTCTAGTGATTTGGGATGAAGAACCTCCTGTGCCTTCCAGGGTAGCCCGTGTTCGGCAGGTGGAGTCTGAAAAGACTGACATCCATCCTTTTCTTCCAAACCCATTATAATAAATGTTACATGCAAGGCAATAATTTGAAAATCGTATTTTGGAAATCTTAGACTTTAATTTTCCTAGTCATTTAAGTGGGGGTAATAATGCTTAGCAGCCAAAGCTGTTTGAGACAAATTAAGCCCAAGAGCTATGTAGCTTACTTAGTAGTGCAAGTAGAATCTGAATCCAAGAATGTCTGCCTCCACAGACCAGGTTCATTTTACCACACTGTACTGGAAAAGTACATATCACTGTACAGAAATTCTCATCTACTTTGATAGAACAAATTTAATCTCTTTAGAAAGACTACGGATGGTCAATCCAAATGAAATTATAGAGGAAAGGTACTTTAACAGTTCTGATATCATGTGCACAGAAATGTCTTGAGTGCTTAGCAGTATATACATGTTCTCTTAAATGCAGAGGAAAAAATAACACTTAAAGTCATAACGCATTTGGGGTCAGGGAAAGGCCCTGTGTTACAGTCCTGAGGCAATTCAATTGAGGAGCACAATTCTACACGATCTTAGCTTTTCTTTACCCAAATTTATGCTTTTCATTAAATCAGACCATTATTTTTCTTCAGTTCCCCGACTCTTCCATGTAGGGGGATGATAGTGAGATTGTATTTTGTGTGAGACTGAGGAAGCCCATGGTAGCCAAACTTTGTAGTTCTGCAGTTATTGCCTACACAGTAAGTAACAAAAGACTGGAACAAGCCGTATGCTACAAACCCTTCAAGCATTTGAACAAATGCCCAAAACAACCCCTCTAGGTGCTCTCTAGCAGCCAAGAAATCAGTGCAATGCAACTGTGGTTCTCATCTCTCTCCTCTAGTGTTCCAAATGGGTTAGTAAAACTTTATGATAATTGGCAATGAAGGCAGTTGAACAATAGAATGTAATCCTTATGGACTTTGTACCCACTATCATATAAAAATTTTCTTTGGCAGAACTTATAATAGTATTAATTCCAGGTATATGATGCATGCATTTGCTGATTTTTCTCAAACTCTGTCTTTCAGGCATGTAAAAATGAGAATAAACTTAACATCCTTGAACAGCATATTCATAATAAATTATGGCTTGGAAACTGTGGTTCTCAAGTTTAATTGCCTTGTTCCCTGCTATAAATCTATAATATCTTGCCGGATGAGAGGAATAAATAGGACAGATGATTTGAAACTCATAGATTCAGTAAAAGAAGGAATATGATATTTGCCACCTACTTACCTTATTATAATTCTTTGAGGATTGATTAAGGTAATTCAATAGTCTCCAATAACAGGAAACTTCAGAAAAGGAGTTGTCTAATAAATCATCGGATTAAAATGAGCACTACTGAGTACAATCATCTTGTTTTTTAACTTTAATTTAGTTTTAGAGAATTCTTAAAAAAACCCCACAATGTATCCAACTGCATTTTTTTCCTAAGTCAGAATGGGGAAGGGATAAGGGATATAATATTGGTTGTGTTTTTACCAGGCATAAATTGGGACAATACTGCGGTTGTGTCTGTATTTCCCCTTTTAATACTTATGACCACTCTCTAAGGTATAGATCTTAATTATCTTTCGGACAATAAATACAAAGTTAAAAATGACTAGGTAGCTTGCCAAACACTGCATAGAGAGTAACTGGTGAAATTAGTTAGTGGTGGGTTCACCATGCCTTTTCAACGATTGAGAATTGCGTGTTACTCTGTGGTTTTCATTCTGCGTATCAACTGCTTAAAATGTGAAAGCTAAGAATAAATGTATGCTGACCTAATTCCTATAGTTTCTTCATAAGAAAAGAGATTTCTGCCCCCTTCTCAGGAGAGGAAAGCATGGGAGGCATATCGCCCTATGTTCTCTGTCCCCCATTCATTGTTTGCTTTGGCTGGAGGCTGTTGGGTATGTGGTTCAGCCACCTTTTACATTTTTGATGGGTATGTTTTCAGATTAGTGAAGGGGGAAAACTGAAGTCCAAGGATTTCTTGCTTTGACATTGATTTTTTTTCTCCTTAAGTTGCCCCACACATTTTTCTCAGGACATTCTATACACCTACGGGACCCTCAGTGGGTCAGATGACTCACTCAGTGGACCAATGCACTCACGGAGAAATAGAAAATGGGGCACTAATTTGGATACTTGTTGCTGACTTTCAAAGTTTTGAAAAGAAATTAATCAAAATATATTCAGATTATTCTTTCAGCTTACTTTTAGACTAAACAAATTAGCTATTATCAATCCTAATATCATTTTTTGAAAGTGTGTTGGAAGGTGATTTTAGATGCTACAGTCTTCCACGTTGGAGAAGGGACTAAGGATTGAAGAGCAGTTTTAATTTTCCATATGTTGTGCAGCTATATGAATAATAACTAAATGCAACAGCAGGCAGGCTTATCCTACCATGAAAGATCTCTAGGGGTTTGGAGGTATGATGGTTCATTTCATGAAGTATTTTAATGATCCATGCATTTGTTTTTCAAACATCACATGAAGTCTTTTATACAAGAATTATTCAGTCTTACCCAGAAGGGTATTTACATAGAAATGTCCTCTCCTTTTATGTATATAACAATTGATACAAATTTGAATAACACAAAAATGGCAGTGTCATTTTAAGAGCTGAAGATCTAGGCAACATTGCCTGAATGGAGTGTACCTGGAGAGATTAGGAACATATGTAGGCTATTCAAGGCGCTTCATTTAGGACCAGACAGGCACACTTTAGTTAACCAGCAGGTAGATAAAAGAATAGTAATTACTAGGAATCAGGATAATTACTAGAAATCCAGATAAATTGTCACATCAAAGTTACATACCAGGAGTTGGCACAAGGTAGGCATTTAATGAAAAATTGTTGAGTGAATAAATCCAAGGTTACTTTGGTAGTGGTTTGGCACCCAGTACTGGTGTCAGGAGGTATGAAAATACATTCAAAAATCTCGTTTTAAATAAAGTCAGAAAGCCCTGCAGGGGGAGCTCTCACATACACACAACCACTCACTGTTATCTTGCAGATTTTAGCAGAAGAAACATTTTCTCCTTGCCTAGCTAGCAACAGGTCCAGCCAACTATAAAACACCACGACTCAACCACTACGAAGTCACTACATTTCAAATTCCTGTATCTTTCAATGGCATCTTGTTTTTCACAGACCCTCTGAACTCCCCCTTTTTGTCTAAAAAGTAACGTTCTTTCAGTTTTTCCTTAGCATGCATGTCCCTATTTGCAATTCCTCTAGCAATTCCAGAGTCAACCCATTTTGTGTAAAATAATTAGCTGTTTTATTTTTAAAGTGAACAGAGAAGAGTGCAATCATGTCCAACTTGCATGCAGAGAGAATAATCAAAGACAAAATCCATCACATCTGATGAACCTACGTTTTGATCGCTCTGATAGCATTCTTAGCCACAGATAATAAGCACAGTTGCAATAGAGGACTGGAGTGAGGCCAGATAATCCAGGCATTAGCTCAAAAGGTGCTGCTATCTTCTGATGAAATCTTACACTAAAACCGCAAACCTTTAAGCTCTAATTTTCTTATCTACAAAGTAGGGGTAATATTAACTGCTGTTTTGTGAGAGAATTCACAGGAGCCCGAAATGAAACATTAGTGAAAACTTTTTTAAAATGAAAGAAATAATATGATTAAAACTGACCTGGGGTTGCCAGAGGACTGTTGGTTGTTAACTTGCCTGTAAGAATAAATGACATTGAAACAACTATTACATTTAAATGTATTATTAGAAATTTATTGTATATTCTTCCCATTTAACATTTAACTTGATATTTTTTAAGTTACTGTGACTTATTAGTATCTGTTAAGTGAAGAACATATCATTTGTATCTGGATCTAAAAATAAATATTTTGCTTTCATTCTTCTTTAGAATTGTAGAGGGGAAGTTTTCAAACTTTTAAGCCATCTTGTGTTTTTTAAGGACAGAATGTGATGTTTTTTAATCATCAAAAATAACTAAACGTAGGGTTCATTTTGTAGTAGTGGCTGTAGACTTAAATGTTCTGGGTTAATCTGATGTTATTTGAAAAAGGAACTTGGAATATACTTAGACCATAGGCTTTGGAGAACAGAAGAATTAATTTTAATTCCTGAGTTTGACACTTAATAGCTGTGTGACTCTTTTAAGAAGAAAAAATATTACCCCTCTATATGATTATTTTGAGAGTTAAATAAAGTAATGTTTGTCAAACATAGTACCTGGCCCACGTAGATACTTTTTTTAAAACTAGAGATTTCAGCTTTATAAAAAACAGTCATAATTATAGGGAATCCCAAAAGTAATATCTTTATGGTTTTATAGCAAGTTTCCTCTAAAAATCATTGGTATATAATTTTGATATTTGGGATAACTTCTGAAAAAATCAGAAAAATGGTATTATTCATGATTATGAGAAACGGATTTTCAGAGCAGTAAACACTCATGCTCAGTGATTCTGGCAGTTGGCAGAGTCAGGGTTAATGTTCATATTAATGATTCCATTCAAATCATTTTTCTATAAAAGAATAATTTTACTTTTTAGATAACATGGTTAATTCTAAAGTTACTGGTAATTTCCCAAAACAAACTCTTTGGGTGGTGCTGTGATCTTGGTAAAACAAAGTGAAGTTACAAATGTAAGGAGCAGTAGTGTCCAACTGCAGTGAGAAAGATGAGGTAAAGAAAATGCTTGAAAAGAGCAAAGTTTACCAGAAGCCTTAGATTCTCCTTTGCAAAGAGTGCAATACATTTTGAACCTTTCTTTCCCTCATTCCTAGTGACCTCATAAATGCTGGGCTTTCACCTCTAAGGCTGTATGATCAGAGTCTTATTTTGGGGTCACACAAACACACTTTTCATTTAAAAATCATTTATATACACATTTGACATTTGGGATGACCTGCAATATTCAGAAAATTGCATTATTTATGATTTATGAGAAACAGAATTTCAGAGGGGGTAAAGAGACATGATCAGTGACTCACACACACCCTCATCCATACATGTATACACATATCTACAGAGCTTAAGCTATGACACTGGAAATGCATATCCTTGGCAGCTACAAGTAGGCATTACGAGCTCTGCAATATTATGAACTACATCATTCCTTACCAAGTGCATGTTTCTTATTTTAATATAAAAAGTAAATGTCTCAGAAAGAGCTACTGAAAAAAATGAATCCCTCCTTAATGTCATGGAGTTTGATGATCACCACCTTAGTTTTTAAATGCCACAGTACTGACCTGAAGTTGTTGCAGGGCTCACCGTAGGGAGATTCTCCAAAGATGCTACAATAAAGTAAAGTAAATTTGAAGCTTGGATGTATAATATGCATATATTATAAAAAATGAATACAGTTGGAATACTCATTCAAAGGGCATCTGATCCTTTAGAGTTCCTGTTTCATCTCATGCTAAAGGTTTGATAATTATTTGATTGTGATCCATTTGATAAATTTCTAAAATCTGTATATTCTTTCTATTACATTTGCTTAAGAAAAAGTTTGTTTTATCTTAATCCTTTAATAAAATATGCACTTATTAATCATAGAATAATTTACATTTAAGATAGGTAATGTGCCATTTACACATCAGACTTCTCAGACCTAGGACCCATGATGCTGCATTGGAACACATGGAAGACATCAAAATATTCTTGCACATAATATCTGCTAGAAATGATGTACTGTCTGAGTATAAAGTGCTTTTCACATGAAAAAATCTGGCTATTTTCTTCACCTGTTAGTTGTGTATTAGTTTTAAAAATATATGTATTTTTTTCACATGACAAAACTATGACAACTATGTACGATATAAAGAAAACCAAAGTATTATTTATAACAACCCTCATCCAGCCCTTGCTGATGTGGCTCAGTGGGTTGAGTGTAGGTCTGCAAACTGAAAGTTTGACAGTTCAATTCCCAGTTAGAGTACATGCCTTGGTTTTGGGCATGGTCCCCAGTTGGGGGTGTACTAGAGGCAACTGATCAATGGATCTCTCATGCACTGCTGTTTCTCTCCACCTCTTTCTCCCTTCCTCCCCCTCTCTCAAAAAACAAATAAATAAATACAGTCTAGGAAAAAAATAAGTAAATAAAAACTCTTATCCAGTGTACTTGTTTTTATTCAAAACTATATTTACTGTAAGTGCATTAATAGGTGGGTTCTCTTCTAACCAGATTGTTTATTACAGTATTTATTCATTTTGCATTGTCTTGTTTCTACAAGATCTATAGCAAAGTTTCATCAATGATATATGGTAGATTGTTGACAAGGAAGATAACAAGGTTTATGCCATATTTTCACAAAGAAGTCATTTTCATAAAGTAATGAATTTAAAAATTCACATGCTAGAAGTGAATATTAAATTTAAATACCTAAAATGAAATTTGGTATCATGTTTATAAAAACATTTTAACATAGTTCAATAAAATAAATGTAACTTCAAGAGCATATTCTTAAGTTGATGTTGTGATATAGTTGATTGCATTCATGGTAATTATTCTAAGTTAATGAAAATGATGTAGTTTTATTGAATAAATAAATATTTTTTAAAACCACAAACTTTCTTCCCTCAAAGAGCCCAATTGTGTGGAGTCATGAAAGTAAGTTTTATCACATCTGTCAATTAATTGGCCATAACAGACCCGCAGAAACTGGTGCACATTCAAAGAAAAATAGCAAGAAATCAATTTTCTAAAAGAAAATTTTCTAGAAGAAAATTGACTGTTGAAAAAAATCAGTCAATATTGTTCAAACTCTAATGTAATGGTTAAGAACATAGACATTAGGGTCTGATTGCCTGGGTCAGAAACCTTGATACAACCCTCAATAACTCTGTGATTTAAGGCAAGTTACCAAAATTATCTGTATTTGGTTTTCTCTGAAAAATGGGGGCGGCAAAGACATCATGTAATAGGATTGATATGAGGAGTAACTGTGTTGACAGGTAACACATCTGTTCTAGCTAACAATAGTTCGCAGTAATTTTTAGTGAGACTGAATTAGATAATGATCTGAAACAGTCTGTGCTCCGGAAGCTGAGTTGAGGGTACCAAACCATCAGTAGAGGAGGCTCCAAGAGAAAACATTAACTGTCTTCTCATTGAATAGGTATCCCAGGATATAGCAGGAGACTTAATAGGAAACGGTGTTTGATGAACCAATGTTGTAAAGGAAAGCAGGGTTCATGATTTCACATTTGCTATTGCAAAATTGAAACAAAACAAAGCGAAATGAAAACTTCTGCATGTTTTTATATATCTGATTCAGAGGCAAACCTATATTGACTGATTCATTCTACAGTAAAACCATATTTTAATGGACATTAGATTATTTGGAGTTTGCCTTTATTCCACATGATGTGGATATTTGTATGCTGATTAACTTTCTAACATCCCCAAATATCTAAATTCAAAAACATAACTGGAATTAAGGTTGACACATAAGGGATAATGGACAATTATTATTGTTTTAACCAAAATAAGTGCACAGCACAGTGTTTGTTGAACTGAATGGGGGATACCTAGAATAAAAAATTTAGGATAAGCATCAATAGACATAGAGGCTGCTGTTACTTTGATTCCCTATCCTTCTTCACCTTTGTCTTATTATCTTAAAATTATTTGTCATTTTGAAAATAAAGTTTTCTTAATATATAAATAACTAATCAGGATGAATCAAACAATTGACCCTTTTCCTTTCTCTTTTTCTTTTAAGTTCTCAACTAGAATTCGGATTTGTCACTTGACTTTTTAATCTAATAATGTATGTGACTAATAATGAGCATGACTTTCTGACGGAGGGTTTCTGGAAAGTTAGGCTGTGCTGGACTCATGCCAAGAATGTGGTAAGACCCACACTCATTTATACATGTCAATGTTTTTAAAACCTTTTTGGTATTTGATATTTTCTGAGGAGTTATAAAAGTTTTTATAATATAAGAGTTATTTTTCATAACTTTTCCTCACTGATATATTTCTTCAAATATGGTTTCAGTGTATTTCATGTTTCTCAGGTAAATGTGTTATCTCAAGCAAGAAGACATGTTTCTGAAGCTAGTGGTGATCCCATTGCTTCCTACTATATCGCTAGAATTTTAATTTCATAGCTTAATGATTCAAAGAAATCAAATAATGTTCACAGATACCTGTGACATCAATGCTGTTCAAATCAATATGGAAATTGACCAGTTGACTGGATTTATTTGCTTCAATGCCTTGAATCAGTTCTTCTTTTACATTTTCATTTGACACCCACTGGGCAAAGAACAGGTCAAATATGACTATGACGCTGCCATTTCTGTAAAGCAAAAGATGACATAAGAAGAAAAAGTCAGACTTCTTCCAGTGATTTGGGCTCAATGCATGTAAGATGCCTTTGGAATTCTCTACAGGTATCACTTTGTTAATTCCCATTACATCTGTGCCAGGTAGATAATATCAAGGGTTATCTTTATTTTACAGGTGGAAGAAAAGGAATTAAAAGACTAAATGTATTTTTCAAGAGCACCAAGACAGATCCAGAATAGGAATCTGAGTTTTCTGAGTTCCATGTTAACAGACAAATTTCTAGGCCAGGCTGTTTCCCAGAGTTACTTGTGTCAATTTAAAGCAAATCAAGTGGTTTCATGGCATTTACTTTCATTTTACTGTTTGAAGGAATTGAGAGTGTGGTTTTGTAATTTCTCACACATGATTTCTAAGTAGAGAGAAGCCTCAGGTAGTTTACTGATTTCAGAGAAAAATTTTCTGAATAGTGTATGAAAACCTGATAGCAAGCTTATGGCAACTAATTTATATTTACATTTTTTCCCTATTCTTAATAAAAGCATCTAAAAAAATCAAGGGATGGAAAGAAGATAAGCATACCTGGATTACTGGGGATTTACATGATATCCATTCTATTGTCAAAGGTCAGGCTAATCTTGCCAACATCATCTCACACTGTGACATCGCAGTTCAATTAGATAGCCCGAGTCATCTTCCTTTTTATTTTATTTCCTGCTCTAGCATGCATGTAAAATGCTGTAGCATGCATTTAAAAAGTTTTATTTGCTGGTTATTTGTTTCAAGTTTAAAGAAATATAAAAATAAATACATTTTTGTCCCAGTAGAGATTCATGAGTGATTTTTCCTCTCATGCTATGCTTTCAGGATATAACCACTGGAGAGACAAACTTGAGGTCTGATCTTCACTCTGTAGCCTTTGGTAAACTGGGGGTACTCAGGCTATACTTAGATCCTTAAGAGCTAGATAAGGGAGAACTAAATTTTGCATGGTGTGTTAGCTAGTTCCAAAATCTAGGCGGTTACACTGACATCCTTATGATGTCTGTAAGTTAATGATCTTTTTGAAGGGTTTTGCCAACTCTAGAAGAGCTCTTTGTCTATTTGCCCGTATGTCTATCTTGATAGAACTTAGAATACAGGGTATTGCATTTTTTCTCCCACGACTATGTATAAGATCAAAATGTTTCTGAAAGATCATAATAGACCAACATGTCCGCTTGGTAGTATGTTCCTTCTTAAGGTCTGTGTTGCTATTCTGGTTTACAGCTTAGCAGCGGTGATTCCTTTCTATGTGGTTGAGTTTCCATTTTTTGAAGTAAATAGGATACTCTGATACAATAATTAGACATTTCACCTCTATTAAAAATTTTTTAAAATTGTAATGTTTGTTTCCAATTATTTGATTAAATCACAATAACCAAATCTTGCAAGTGTCAAGGCTCCTTAGTAACCATTTAGTTCAGGGTTCCCAGAACTCATCCATATATGGAATCACGTGCTGTCCTTGAAAAGCATACATTTTGCCACAGACATTGTTTTTATCTACCTTTCCACACTTGTTAATTCCATGCTGGCCAATCGTTAATTTTGTTTGAGAAGAACTCTCCATTTTCTCACAAATGGTGATGGTTTCTCCAACCCTTTCTTACTCAATAATAGTTTTGTTCATGGGCATATGAGCAGACCCTGGTGAATGGAATGTGAGGGAGCAATGATGGGAACTTCTTGGAAACCTTTTTCATATCTTATAAAATAATGGTTTAGAGTGTACTACTGGTCTTAGTTGTTAAACATTAGTATGTCTGGTATATGATGGCTTGAACTTCCACATCCATCTTGGTCCCATGGAACAAACTATGGTTGACAAACTAAACGCAGCAAATGAAAAAGGAAAGCACCTACATTATTGACCACGTCACTGTTATTGTATGACTGAGTTAGCCTCTGGCGAAACCTTCAAGTTTCTTGTGATGTCAGATCATCAACACTTATTGCTTAAGACACTTTTAGTTGTGTGTTTTGTTCATTGCAATTTAATCCTAACTGACATACAACTCTCAGGCTTCATCACATATTTATTTAAACAGAAGCTCTGGAAAAGGGAGATTACTGTATTTGTATTTTTGTGCCTGATGTTGGCCAAATTGTCATTCTAGCCATAAGGAGATTGAGGCTCAGAGTAATGCAGATAACTTTGCCTAGAATGTTACAGCAAATCAGTATCAGAGATGGAATGAAATCCAGGGGTAGATGTCTCCCAGATGTGATTTTACATAGTAGTTCTCATTCCCCACTGTCAACACCATCTCCATCAATACCGTCATCACTCTCAACACCATCTCTGTCAATACCGTTATAAACTGTTTGTTAGGGAAAGACAATACACCACATTTACCTGGACGCACATTTATAATTATCTCCCATTTTTGCCAGAACTTCACAATCAAATAGATTGGGATAATACCTAGTTTTATTTTGGAGAGAGAAGTGAGGGATAGATATTTTGTAACCTCCATACTTTCAAGGAGTAGAATCTTCCCTCCTCTCTCTTCTTCCCTTTCCCTAGCCCCTTCCCTCCTCTCCTTTTCCTCCTTCTTCTGTGTCTCTCACCACCCTCCCCTCTCAAATAGTTAAACGGACAGGATTAAATATGGTTAAATTTCTACCTTTGACTAAATCTGAGTTTTCTCCTTATGTAGTTTCCACTGTTGAATTTGACTAAGCAATTGCTTTTAGTTTTCTAAGGAAGTAAAAGAAGTAAAATAATTTTTGGTAGAGAAAGTACAAATCTGGAATTTTCTCTCACTGAGTTGAAAGTAAATGGATTAGTTCATCCTCAGGCATAAAACATCTTTGTATGAAAGATGTATTTTCTTACTTCTGAATTATACATTGCATTTAATAATTTATGCTTTGCAAGGACAGGAGTTACAGGTCCTGTATTCACATATAGTTGCATTCTTTAAATTTTATTTTATTATTCATTGTAAGCATTGAAATAAAAGAGATATATACTAGAAACCAGAAAAACCATAATAAACATTTGTGTTCCACCTAATAAGAGTGCTAAAGCTGTTATTTTAGTAGTTTAGTATTGATCTCTATATCACTGCTCTGAGATTGATTTTATTTATTAAGGTAAATAGCCATTTTCATTTCAAAGTATTTGTTCCAGTAGAATATCTGAGGTTTTTAAAAATCAGATAAATCCTATCATTGTACAGAGAGCCTGTGTGCAATAAATCAAAACGCCTCTTATCTCTTATTCCCCTTAATGACATCGATAACCTCGAGGGTTGCTGAATAAACGGAAGTCTTTTCTTTACTAACTTGGTGACTCATCTGTGCTCAAAGGGCAGGGTAGGCTGCATATCACCACAGAAGGTGAACAGCGCTTTATGAAAAGAATCTGCTGCTAAAAGCTCTCCCTGTCAAAGCACTTTCCAGACAGCAGAATAACAGAGAGTGATCCCAGAGGGGAGCAACTGTTTGTTTGATCTGCAGAGTGGCCACACACACACACACACACACACACACACACACACTTTAACAAGGGGCCGGGGTTGACCTAAAGTAACAAAATATGGGTTAACCACTAACTGTTCCCTAGTGCTATAATTCAACAATATACATATGCATGTAGTATGTGTTTGATTAAAATTGGTAAAAAAGAAAATAGGTATTTTAGACACCTATTTTCAGTATTTTTAGATACATTTTTCACAGTTAGTGTGGATATTGTTAGTTGAGACTTCAGTTATTTATTTCTTGATTTTACCAATTAGAGTTTAAAATTAAAAAAATATTAAGCTAATTAGGAGTCTGCCACCTTTCTTTTGAGTGGAATATGCCATTTTATCTGTGCTTATTTAAAGGAAACTTAAATGTTTGCTTGTTGCTCTCTTTCTTGCTTCTGAATTTCCTTTTCCAGTCTCCCAAAGCACCAACCTGCAATTTATCTTACAGATATTTGTACAAAATTCCTTTGCATCTTTCAAAAACTCACTTCTGATTTAAAAGTAGTTCAGATACAACTAGGAGAAGTATTTCTACCCCAATGAAGTAATTACTTGAGAATAATTATAAAATATGTATCAAGGCTTAGGGAATATATTGGTCTCCTAGGTAGCTATAAAGAGGGAGAAAAAATTCCTCAGCTGAAATAATTTACAGTTCCAAATATAGTGATTTTTAACATCCAGAGAATAAAAGATCATTTATTAAATATTAAAGAAGATGCTGGAATTTTGATAAACCACCAGGCCAATGTATAAAGTCTACATTCAGTAAATATTCTTTATATAGTAAAAATGAAGTTATCTAGCATATTATAATACATAAACATGAAAAGTCCCATTAGGAAACCTATCCCAATAAACTCTGCAATGAATATTGTGCTTTGTAGAGATTTCAATGGGCAGAACCCAGTGAAGGAGAGACTGGCACCTGAAATAACCCTCCTCAAAGAACATGAACACCTTAGAGATACAATTCTGAACTGATGCTTTCATGCAGAGCTCCATACTCAATCCTTATAAAACTGAAAAAGAGAAATCAGTTCCACTCACTTCAAAGCAGACAAATAGCTTAAAGTTAAATGACATCTTGCATGCATGGTTTTTACCTTCACAGAATAAATATTTTAAAAATAGCACTTTGAGAAAAATGTTAACCTTTTCCATACATCTCCTTCTAGTCCTGATATTTGGGCCAATAAAAGAGGCTAGTAGCAGAGGTACAAAGGCCCAGAAAACAGGAGTAGATGCCTCTGTATTGCAGGTAGGTAGGAAGACGGTAGGTGAGGCTATATAGGGCTGACTGGGTACTGGGCTAAAATGTCCTGAAAATGCAATGAAATAAAGAATAAATAGTGTAGATAGATAAGTGAGAAAGAAGAAGAGAAAAAGAATGAATGAATGACAGCGAGAGAGAGAGAGAAAAGAGAGAGAGAAAAAAGAGAGAGAGGAAGCGCTGAGGGGGGATTTTTAAGCTCGAGTGTTTTTTCATTTGTTTGTTATTTTAACCAGAAAGGGCTTCTATTTTCTTCTCTCCTTAGGTAGTCTCCACCCATGCTTCTCTGACTGTGTCCTACATCTTCCACCACACCTTTTATGACCCGCCTTTTCAACCTGAGGAGGCTCTTTAATGCATTTTAACACTGCTGTGCTTCCAGAGAACTTGTTTAGAGCTTTTTAAAATTAAAATTCTATCCTTATGGCTTGGCTAGAGCCAAAGTAAGAGCATACTTTTTCATATCTATAGGACATGGGTTAAAGGGAAACATGTAAGACCTAACATAGTACTCAATATATCAAAGCCAGGTACTAAATAAATAGCTCGTTCATTTGTGAGGACTTTATAGAACACACTCTCTGAGCCAGACATTAACTAGCTTCTGAAAATACAGATATCAAATAATACATTCTTTGACCTGAGGGAGCTCATGGTCTAATAAGAACACAGGCGAACTGACAATTGCATTAGAGTACGAGGATTGTTACTTTATATGTAGGTACAAGGTACTAACACTGATTGACTGCCGAATTGTATCCTCTTACAGGTGACAGGGACTGGTTCCTAATGGCATGTAGGGATAGATCTTACTGACAGATGCAATATATAATGAGGAAGAAATGGAGGTCTAGGCAGTGAAGGAGCAGGATGCTTTTACAGCCATGCAGGTGACATGGTTTAGCTGGTGTCAAAGCTTATGGGGAGCCAGGTGGGCAGGAGAAGTAGAAGGAAAGGCAGGAGTGAGTTTCAGAGGCAAAACCCAAGAAGAGTACCTACATTTAGGATAACAATACTAGAAACAGTCTTCATGTATTTGAAAGACTGAGGAATGAAGATAGAGATACATTTATTCTATAAAAAATTAATAACTACAATAAACTAGGGTCAATGGGTAAGAGCCAAAGAAGTAAAGACTTGGTTGAGAATAAAATAATTTTCTAGCAACTGAAGTTATAGAGAAAATAAAACACAGTATTAAAAATGATGTTCACAGTGACAACAAATATGGATTCCTAATTTTTATCAAATATCTTCACATGAGGGAATCTGTTTTAATCAGTACAAACCTCTTTCTTTTGTTGGATGAGAATGAACTTCCTTCTGAGGCTATGGGTATGACAGGCCAAAGCAGACAAGCAAAGGCTAAACTACATCACTTAAAATCCTTTTTCTCCTTGTATACTTATGCTACAAATTGCATAGGGGTGGGCAAGAGTGGGTTTAGAGTTGCATTGTGACATTCTTTTGTAATGTGATTATTTTTTTTTAAAGATTTTATTTATTTATTTTTAGAGGGGGAAGGGAGGGATAAAGGGACGTAGAAGAACATCAACGTGTGGTTGCTTCTGGAGTGCCCCTACTGGGAACCTGGCCTGCAACCCAGGCATGAGCCCTGACTGGGAATTGAACCAGTGACCTTTTGGTTTGCAGTCCAGTGCTCAATCCACTGAACCACACCAGCTAGGGCCATAATATGATTATTATAATAATCATAACTAGCATGTCTTTTTCCTATATGAACAACTATAAACCTACTTTTGCCTACCCCTATATATACAACTGCCTAGTAACAACAGCTAGTACATGATCAATGATGTACATGTATTAAATGATAAATGGATAAAAGTAAAATGAATGTCTATTTACATTTTATAGGTAGTGACTTTGCATTGTCATGAAAATACAATGAGGCCACTGCTCTCTGGTCTGGAAGCCTTATATTTTGACTTCATTTGAAATAGTAGGCTTGGAGCTTTCTCCTTGTCCATCCTCCCTGACTGTGATAACTGTCTTTCATTGCAAGGTGCCAGCATCCCCCAAACTAACACTTATTTACCTCCACAGTGAAGCAATATGTGAGACGGACCTTTGTAACTAGGTCTTTTGCCATCAACCTTGCTTATTTAAGTGTTTAAGTGGTGTAAGTCAGGCTCTCCAGCCTTATCTTGACTTTCATTGTTTTCATTTCACATCTTCTTCTTTCCCAGCCTATTAACTCCCATTTTATTTCTGTAGAAAAGATAAGGTTCTTCTATTTTTTAAAAAAGGAATTCCCTTTATTTCACTTAGTGTAGCCTTCATTTCTTCCCTTATGCTTTTGCTGTACTCAATGAGTTCTCCGTGCTTCCTGATCACCAGTGTTTTGAACTCTGTATCTGATTGGTCAGCTATATCTGTTTTGTTTGTTTCTTTTTCTGGGATTTTGTTCTGTTCTTTCATTTGGGCCATATTTATTTGTCTCCTCAATTTGGCAGCCTCCCTGTGTTTGTTTCTGTGTATTAGGTAGGGTTGCTTTAACTCCCTGTCTTAGCATACCTGTTAAGTTGCATAGGAAAAATCTACAAATAACCAACAGTGAAGAGAAGGAAGCCAGGGTTCAAATCAAAGATTTGGAACATAAGGAAGAAATAAACAGTCAACCAGAACAGAAAGAAGAAAAAAGAATTTAAAAAAAAAAGGAGAGAATAAGAAGACTCTGGGACATCTCCAAAAGTGCTAACTTCCAAATCACATGGATGCCAAAAGGAGAAGAACAATAAATTAAAAACTTATTTTAAACAGTAATGAAAGAAAATTTTGGTAATTTGGTGAAGGAAATAGACATATAAGTCTAGGAAGTACACAGTCCCAAACAAGTTGGTCCCAGAGAGGACCACATGAAGATATATTGTAATTAAAGTGCCAAAGGTTAAAGATAAGGAGAGAATCTTTTAAAAATTTTATTATTGTTTAATTACAGTTTTCCCCACTTCCCTCATTCCTCTCCTCTGTTCTGAGATAAAGAGAGAATCTTAAAAGCAGCAAAAAAGAAAAAAAGAGAGTTAACTACAAAGGAATTCCCATAAGACTATCAGCTGATTTCTCAAAAGAAACTTTACAGGCAAGAAGGGACTGGTAAGAAGTATTCAAAGTCATGAAAAGCAAGGTCCTACAACCAAGATTACTCTCTCCAGCAAAGGTATCATTTAGAATTGAAGGGCAGATAAAGTGCTTCCAGACAAGGTAAAGCTAAAGTAGTTCATATCACCAAGCCCTTATATAAAATGTTAAAGGAACTTATTTAAGAAAAAGAAGATCAAAACAATGAACATTAAAATGACAACAAACTCACAGCTATCACCTGCATCTAAAAAACAAAAACAAAAATAAGCTAAGCAAACAACTAGAACAGGAACAGAATCATAGTATGGAGATCGTTTGGAGGGTTATATGAAGGGAGAGGGAAGGGGGAAAATGGGGGAAAAGGTACAGGGATTAAGAAGCATGAATGGTAGGTACAATATAGACAGGGGAATGTTAAGAATAGTATAGCAATTGGAGAAGCCAAAGAACTTGTCTGCATGACCGATGGACATGAACTAAGGAGGGTGGATGGCTGGAGGGAAGGGAGCTACTGGGAGGAGGGGGCAAAGGGAGAAATAGCATAACCAGCAAAAGATACTTTTAAAAAGGAATTCCCTCTTTTTGACTTTTGACCTATTGACTTTTATAGATTCTAGTTGGCATGGCAATTTTCTGCTGATACATATCCTTGTTCCTCAGGCCTGTCGGTAGTTTGCAGTGGAGAAAACTCCTGATACAAATATCCATAGTGGAATTATATCATGATCCTATTGATCTAAGATTCATTCATTTATTGAGCACCCACTCTTTTCTCCATATAGTCTTCTGCCCTCTGGGTGAAAAAAGAACAAGTCCCTTCTCTTTTATGACTTAAAATGTAAATGAAGTATAACAACCAAGTTACTTCCACATGTTCATAGCAAATCAGGCACTCTATTTGTATCTCCATATTTTGGATTTGGCCCCCTCCATGTGTCTTTGCAAGATTTTACCCTCAGGAGAAATATATTGACATAAGATCAATTATTCAGAGTTATTATTATTATTTGCTGCTAAGATGAAAGCTTATCAATGCTGAAAATTTTAAATATTCTTTTTTCTCCTAAAAGTGGTAACAGTATTTTGCAAACGTTAGCAAGCAGATCACAATTTTGTGAGTCTGTGCTTCCTTCCTCCAGTAGAATAATTTTGAGCTGTACTCACTCAAATTGTAAAACTCTTGAGTTTTTGTACTCATTTTTCAGATTACTTGATTGAAAGATCTCATCTATCTAAGAAACAAAATGGTTAAATGAAAGCATATTAAATTTAAGATTTACACTTTTGCTTAAAAATTTAAATAGTAATCTTTAAGTTTGCTTAGAACAGGATTAGGGGCACTTTCCTTCTCTGTCATAATGAGACTCATACACTTAAGCATTCTAGGCGTATTACATTCTTTTACTAATTTTTTCAAGGTAAGGAAACAGAATCTATGTATCTTTTCACAAGTAGTTAGTAAAACTATGTTATGAAATTTTAAGCCAGCTGAAGAGAAACAATCTCCTACCATTTGCTGAAGGTCAAAAGCAAGAACTTTGAAATCCACTGAGAGTTTGTCTTGCAAATTAGGATTATATGTAGCTCCTGATGTTATTTTCAGTGTCCCTCTGGCTTCATAATTTTTTCCAAGTACTGCATGTAAATAAAATAAAAGAAACACTTAAAATATGAATTATAAGGGAGACTATGCTCATTCTGATAAAGACATGAAGTTCTTGCTTCATGTGCTTGTCTGAGGTTTTTTTTTTTCTTTGCAGTTCTAATGTTTCATAATCAGTTGGTTTTTCCCCTTATGTCATTGCTTTAGGATTAAAAATTAAACTACTTCTCCAGCATATTAAATTTTTTTCTGTTCTTACAAGTCTAACCCAGATTCCATGCTTCCAAGCTTTTTTTTTACTGTTGAGATTCTTTTTGGAAAATACAGGGATGATCAACTGGCACCAATTATGGAAACTGATTCAGGGAAACATGGTGAGAACTGGACCATTAAAAGCGATGTATTGCTTTCAGTTGCCTCTTGAATACCTCACACCCAGGGGCACTGCTGGTTTTCTGCATGTGACTGCTTTGAAGATTACAGTGTGTGTGTCACTTTGAAACATAGCTTGAAGCTACTCCTTTTACTCTAATAATTATAAAATTGGCATGTCTGACCTTTTACCATTAGATGGTGAATGTTGTTGTTAGGGAAGTTATTGAGAATGTTGCAGAAAATATATTATCTCAATATTAAAAAATGTAAGGAAAAAGCTAAAAAATTGAATATAAATTTGTTGGTACTAAAATGTACCATTAAGTCCTGCATAATGTCTTTATCAGAATATTTTCTTTGATATGTATTTATATTTAAAATGAATTGCTTAAACTAAAGCTTACACAATGATGAAATCATGGTAACTGTAATGACCATGATATGTAATTCTCACATTGACCTGGAATGACGAGAAGTTATTTCTTCTTTTCCCTGATGAGAAAACTGGAGCTCAAATTTACTAAGTATATTTCCCAAGCTAATGGAGGCCGTAAGCTACCAATAAGGAATTTGGGCATAGAATTCACTGACTTTAGAAACCAGCATTTGTCATATATTAATGACAAACTTCTGGAGCAGAAGAAACATTAGAAATAATAATTCAAACAAAAAAAATGCATTTAGTTGGAATAGTTATCATGGCAAATTTGATGTAACATGTTATTTATAATACTTTATTTTTTAAATACCCCAAATTACATTTAAATTTGCGTGATTAAATGTGAAAGACAAGGAAAACCTGAGACAAGACAAAGAAAATTTGTCATGAGTTGGAGACTAAGGAAGTGTGATAACTAATCTCATATAGGACTCTGGATTGGATCCTCAACAGAAAAAGGACATGAATAGAAAAACTAGTGGAATTTTAAAAAAGTGCGTGATTCAGTTAATAACATTGTGTCAGTGTTAACTCTTTGGCCATAACAGTTGTGCTATGAATGTACAAGATATTATAAGGATTCAAATTTAAACAGCTTCCTTAAATTTCTGCCTCTGATTCATTACCTGTGAAAGGAGAGCAACTCACAGATTTGTTTTAACAAAAGAATACCTTTGAAGATCATTGGAAAGTTTTTGGTACATATAAGTTTGCTGTAAATAATAATTCACCTCTTATTTTTTCTGCTTATCATAATTCACTACTCAGGCAGCTTCAGATATTTATAATTCTCCATTTACATCCATATTTTCTTATATTATTGCAATTAAAATGGTTAGTTTATCAAAGGAATGAAGATATCATTCCATAGAAATAAATAATATTTTTCAACTTGATTTATTGACTTGTCAACAATGTTTTCATATGTTTATAATTTAAAGTCTATCGAAATTAACTCACAGGCTATAAAACCTACTTTGTTGTATGTTGAAACTGAGAAACAAATTGAACAATTTTTATTTTAAAAATTTTGTTTCATGTTAGAATTCTGAATTAAGTTTCAAATAAATCATAGATCAACCAATTTTTCTCATATTCTACAAAGTAAACTACAACAAAGCATCTGAAGGAACGTAAATAGCTTGTCATGAGAGCACAGCCGTGGACACGGTGTCCGGGCAGGAAGACTGAGATTGAGGTGGGTGCACCCACCTGAGAGAGCCTTCCCCGGGACTTACCTTTCTCTGATCCCTCGATTGCCAGCCAGGACACTGCAATTAACCCAGCACAGAGAACCGCCAAAATGGCAAAGAGAGCGACAAACATCACTTCATAGGTGCTGAGAGAAGGTTGCTTTGAAGGTACACTTCTTTTTGACACCATTTTTGGCTTTTGAAGATATGCTCATCTAAACACTGTGAGAGAATATAAGAACTCGCACCAACTGGAGAGAAAAATCTCTTAAGTTTTTAAAAAAGATTTGGAAAACAACACATGAGTCTACACTAGTCGTACTAGTCAGTGTAGATGTGTTGTGTGTGCCCAAAGGGCAGCATTGCGTCTCAACATGTTAAGTAGATTTAAAAGGGCAGTTAATCTTTAAGAAAGATGTAAATGAGCAAAGAGATACCTAGAGTTGTAAATGTTAATCATCTGAACAGGCCATTTGTCAGGATGAATGAAATTAAATGCATGTTGTAAGCAGAAATGACACTTTATCATTTTGCAAACCATTAGGAGAAATATAAAATTCATACTGGACAAATTAGTCACTAGGCACATGCATTTGATGTGTGTGGAGAGTTTGTAACAGATCAGCATCTGTGTCGTGACTCAAGTTATATTCAGGCATTTGTCCTGTTCAGCGTGTGTATGTATATGTGTGTGTGTGATATTGAAACAATCACAATTGTTTTCCGTTCATCTTTTTCTTTTTTTAACTGTAATTTTCCCACTACCACTTATCTTCCTTAATCTTCATTATATTACTCAAGTGAAGTTATGCAATGTAAAGCAGCATTGATTTAACTTCAAGGAAAACCCACTTATGCAGGGTGTCAAGTGGCTACTCTCTATGGTTTTGTGCAGCCATCAATGAACGGGAGTGGCTGCCGTGAGAGGAATAAAGCATTTATTTCTATTTTAAGAAAGTATTCTGGGAAGGGAAGGCAGTGCTCGCTTGCTCTCGGCTTTATAAACATGCCAATTGTAACAAGAGAACAGGTTATGATAACCACGTTCATAACTGTAATTCTATGCTTTCTGGGAAAATCTAGACTGTTTTCTGACAATTGAAGTACAGCTTATCATCGAAACTGCCATGCTACAAATAACAATGAGTCTAAGAATTCAAAAATAAATACAGGGAGGGTAAAAGCAGGTTTATAGTTGTTCATATGGCAAATAAGAAAATAATTGATAAATAAGAACACAAGAATAACCTCTGTGTTTCGTGTATTCACAGATAAACACCTATTGTTGTCCCACCCTGTAAATGAAATTAACCCTCATCTGAAGTAAGCCCATTTGCCTTTTGCTCTGATAAGCAAAACTGGCCACAGGTAATAAAGTCCCAGATCAGAGGCCCTTATAGACTAAAATGTGGCATATTACAATTGGCTAAAATAAGCAATAGGTACTTTTCTAATTTTTTTCTTTAACCTTGAATAAAGAGAATGGAGTGTTGCACTCTAAAATCCTCAGTCATAAAAAGCAAAATATAAATTTGAAAATGTATGTCATGGGATATAGTTGTACTTTTCGTTTAGCTGAATTAATACTAATTGCATTATTAGGCACTTCAAAGTATACATAAAATGAGAGCTACCATGGATGGAGTTGGGAGGCATTTATTTCACTTCTCTTCTGGCAGGTGATTGTAGTTAATAGGCCAGACCATTAGATAGAATTGTACCCTGGATGGTGCCCCTTGAATTTGAGGAGCCAAAACACGGGGGCCCAATTATTGTCTTTTTCATTATAGTTGATGCAGTTCAATTAGTTTTTGGGAAATCAAGAACTTTATTATACTTCTTTTGAATATTTATAAGGGAAGGAGAAGATAGCAAAATGAGTTTACACGCTCTGTTCTCAGCACAGGGTAATACTATATTAAATATAAGATTGAAAAACAAACATTATAGAGTTAAGTTTGGAAATAAAATGGGCATTCATATAAAGCTTCCACAAATTATTTGTTTTGAGTAATTGTAGTTAATATGTCCGAATAAATGAGAGGAAGAATAGCTTTCTTTTAAAAACTACAATTTATGCAAGACAGACTGAAATCAAGCAAACTGGTTAATGTGAGAAAGAACGAATCACGTCTTAAAATTTTAAAAAGTGACCCAAATAAAATGGAACTTGCCCTGTCAGATAACAAAAACCATTGCGAGGTTACAATAAAGAGGGAGTGATCAGGGCCCAGGAGGAGGAAGCTATCTCAGTGGAACAGAACAGAGAGCCGGCAGACCAGTTGCTTTACATACGGAAGCCTCATCTATCAATACGACAGTGTTACTAATAACAGGTGAGGAAAGGATGATGGCTCAGTATATGAGGTGGGTTAGTTAGTTAGTTATCCATTTCATGATATTAGGTCCTTATCTCACATCATAAAGATAAATACATTTCAGGTGGGTTAAATTACATAAAACGTACAGAAAATATGTAAAGAAAATATAGAAATACATCTTTTTGATGATGGGGTTCTAAAGGAGTTTTTTAAAAACAACTGAAAAATAAAAGAACCAACCAGGAAAGAGGATATTAAAAATTTCTACTAATTAACACATAAAAGACAAAGAGTAGGCAATTAAGAAAACACAAAACCAAACAAAGAAACAAAATGTCTGTAGGTGTTTGACTTTAGTAAGTGTTCAAATTTGGTAGTAATTATGGAATTACAATGAAAACTAAAATGAAATATTGTTGCCTTCAAACATACTAGCAAAATTCAACAAAATATGGAATACTTATTAAGAATGCTTTTGGAGATTCTACAGATGGTTTTTCCTCTCTGAAAATGTGTCCAAATGCCCCAACGTATCAAGTCAATTAACACAAAGCTTACTCCTGTGCTAGATGGTTCAAAGATGACAGATCTTTATGAAGTACACATTTGTTTGTCTCTATGGCATATTTTTTTCTTTGGTTTCATGTATAATTTTACATACTCTTCTAATCTCCAATTGGTAAACCTGTTTCTATTTTGTGTGTTGCAAGGAGACAGTAATCTTCCTTTGTAAAAATCTGAGGACTATCTGATAAACATCTTATTGGGTTAAAAAAAGGAGGGTAAGCCTTTTTAAATTTATTTTCCTCCTGATAAAGCAAACAGCCTCATGCTCCCCAGTTTATTAAGCTCAATGTCTAATTTCCTTTGCTCTTTTTCTTATTAATTAATAGTTAACTACCTATAGTAACATATTGATTATTTGTATAATGCTTATGATTTAGATTGTAATTTCTTCTCTTAATTATAATGATTTTATTTTAGTTTAATTCTGTTTTATCATCTTACTATTTATTGAGTTCTTATTGTCCTTAACTTTCTTATTGCCATATTTTATAATAAATAGTAATGTAGAAACATTTCCCTTGGTTAAATTTGCTCCTAGAATCCATTTTGGGGGCAATATTTTATTTACTATTATTTTTCTTCTCCCCTTTCTTTGTGGCTTCCATGCTATTTCTTTTTCTCTGGTTCATGCTCCACTTAGTGAAGCTGATTTGCTTTCCCATGGTTTTCACATAAAGCCAGTGAACTCTCCTTGCATTTGTATAAGCTACAGTTTGAGGAATGCATAATAATGCTTACTTTTTTTTTGTAAAACTGTGGGGTTGGGAGAAGGTGGTAAGGAAGGAGGAAAAACTCATGTGAGGCTATCATCCAGCCTTTGTATGATAGTTCATATTCATTTCTTTCCTTTGTAACTATGTCAAACATCCTGTACAAAGGATCGCTGGTACTAATGTAGATTCACTCTGTTCATAAATGTGTGTGGGATGCTACCGAGCTCTCTACTCTTCCCTAAAAGTTGTAAGTAGCCTCAAGAAAACCAACCACAAGGCCCTATGGTTTCCTCTCATTTCCACTGAGATCTCCTAGCAGGCACTGGTCACTAGGGGGTGCTAGATCTGAGATACTTGCTCAGTGTGCAAGCATTTCAACTTGCTTTTCTACAAATTGCAAGGTATTAAAAATTAGAAGTTATTTTGAGCTGTTCTAAGCATACTGATGGGGAGGAGAAAACTTATAGGTGAATAACAGAAAAGAAGAACCATGTTGAGTCTCTTATTATTCTTGTTATTAGACAAAGTTTGTGCCATGAACTTTGTTTTTCTTGTTTTGTTGTTTTCTTTTTTCTACCAGTGAATTTTTGACTAGCTTATAACTAATTCATAAGTCATTTAATTAGATTCTAGGAAACGATGTTTTAAGCTTCAGCTTCAATTTGAACTTTCCCCTAAAATCCACCCAATATAATTTCTGACCTACAGACTGCATCAATTTTTATTTAACTAAAACTTTACTCGAAAATTAATTTAGATGTCATATTAAAGGTTCCTGGCTTTGAAAATGCCTGAGTAAACAATATACTTAGTTCATTTATGTAAAAATAGTTTCAGCTGTTTCAAAAGTTCAGAAATAGCTGAAGTGAAACCAATGAATCACTGAGGTAGTAATTAGTAGAAGTTTATTGTGCATATACCAGAAAGACAGTTTGCAAACTGGGAGTGCTCAAACCAAAGCATGGAAAGACTCAAGAGTCTATCGTCATAAAGCAGCATGTACAATAAGGAAGCAGTGACTCCTCTCCACAGTGACTGGTTATTATATTACAGTTTTCACTGGTCACTTCATAGTGACCTTCGGAAACAGTGCAAGTTTTGCTCATGATTTCTGGAGGCATAAGCAAGAGATGACCTCAGTCAAGTTAGTCTTGCAGAATAAGCTAAATTAAGTTTTGTTTGTATGAGGAAACTGTTTTGTCTGCACAGGGAATTTCCAAGGCTGGTCCCTGTGTTTGATTTCAACAGCTGGATATTCTTTTACAGAAGGATGCATGAAAACAAAATAAAGAGATCAAAAATTCTTTGAGTTAATTGTTTCACAGTCCCATCACACAAGAATTGGATTCCTTTGCAACGTTTAGGTTCAGAGTAAAGAAAGCCCTATACAGTGCTACGTAATGAAATCATCTGTTTAAAATTAACTGCAGACCTGCACTCCTTGAATTGCCAAAAAAAAATGTATCTGCCATGCAAAGAAGGTGGTATGCTGGTGTGGGAAAGGCACCACACAAGCAGACTGTAGACCCTCACCTGCACACCCTTCCTAGGCAACCATGGGAATTTCGCTAAAACCCTTTTTGAGTTTC